GTTAGTGTCCGATGCGTGGTTGGCAAGTCCCCTGGAAGGGGACGACTCAGAAGGTCGTCTATGGACGCTCTAAATCTAAAGCAGGCATCCTGACTGCTGTCTCCAGGGTGAAACAGGGAAGGTTTTGTGTAACTGCACTGTCCTCTGTCTGAAGAAAGAAAGTATTAGGAAAAGTGGAGATGAGCGGCATGCAGTTTATAAAAAGAGAATTCAGACAGACCCACCTGGATGATGGATCTCAAGCGCTGTCCCTGGAACCCGAGTACCTGTTGCCAGGGGCAGGAACACGCTGAGAGCGCAGACTGGTGCATCAGGTTACAAAAGCTACACTGCTGTCTCTCAGCTCCGCCGCAGCCTTCAAAGCTCTGCCTCCGGACGCTGGGACAGGGACTCTGTAAACTACTCTTCTCCTTTGCCAACCAGTAGGAGGTTCTGGAAGGCAGGGGGATCCCAGAAGGCACTTGCTTGTCCTTTTTTGTTTACCGCAGGGTCTCTTCTTCCAGCTTCTAAATTCTAACAACACCAATTTCTTCCCTCTCAACTCCCGGCTTGCTTCCTGCAGTTACTATCTCTGCATTCAACCCTTCCTTATGTTAAATTCTCTCTGTTGACATCCCTGAGGTGGTTTCTGCTTTTCTGTTTGAACCCTGACTGCTGACACCAGTGCTCGATGGTACCAGCCGTTAATACGCTACTGTCTGACAAATTCCATCACGGATAAGCATGCGCTCACACACGTTCCTCCTTGATCACACATCACTCTGACTAGAATTGCCTTCTCTTGTAGAATTCCTACACGGTGGCCTGGCTGGTGTGGCTCAGAGGACTGAGCACCGGCTGGCGAAACAAAGGGTTGCTGGTTTGATTCCCAGTCTAGGGCACATGCCTGGGTTTCAGGCCAAGTCCCCAGTAGAGAGTGCACGAGAGGCAACCACACATTGATATTTCTCTCCCTCTCTTTCTCCTTCCTTTCCCCTCTCCAAAGATAAATAAATAAAATCTTAAAAAAAAAAAAAGAAAGAAAGAAAGAATTCCTACAGCGGGAATTTGTTGTTTAGTAAACATATAAAACATGTCTAGTCCACTTGAGAGTTAGATTTTTCACTTGAATGCTATTATTACACCTCAGTCTCAGCCCTGTTCTGGCCGTGGAGGTGGCGTCTTTCCTGGGACACTGGTGATATGTCCCCTGCCCCTGCCTCATTACGGTCAAACCCTAAACCATATAGTCCCACCAAGGCGAGGACACCCGGCTGACCAGCCAGCCGAGCTGACTTGTGTTCTCCCTCTCACTGTGCCCCACATTGGTGCCACGCGTGAAAATATTTTTCTTCAAATGGCAATAGCTGATATTGAAAGACAATGTCCCTTTTCTGAATTAAAAAAAAGAAAGAAAGAAAAAGAAAAACGTGCTCCTTTCTTTTAATTCTTCTTCAAATAAAAATTCGCTGAAAAAGCCTTCACCATCAATGACCAACAAGTTAACCTAGCTCATCTCAGGGAGTAGCTTAGTCTTGCGTTTTAATAAACCTTTAGTTTGTTTAGATCGAGTGGCTCAAACCTTGATTTTAGAATTGCACTGAGGATCTTTCAGTGGGAAGGGGGAGAGCGAGGTGGTCTCACTGCACTCCTGAAAATCCTGCAAACAGGCGTCTTCTTTTGCTACCCCGTAAACTGGCGCTGAAAAAAAGACATGTTCAGTCCCACACAGTTCTTCACTGTCCCTTGCCAGACCACAGCTGATCTCCTTTCTGCCAAAGCCACAGTGGAGTACCCCGGGGAGGCCACAGGGCACCTACACATCTCATAACAGCTGTCTTTGTAAAGCTACACAAATATTTGCTTCTGGCTGTCAGAGCTAATCCCGGGGCTGACTTAGCGCACATATTCATAGGCACCTCTGCTGCGCGTGGTGCTGGCGCTGCCAACATCCCGTCTGGACTTGTGGGGTCGGCTGAACAAGCCAGAGTCTGTGGCAGCCTCCGTGCATCTCAGCAGACAGGTGTCTCCAGGCATCTTCTGTGGCTTTCATGGACAGAGACCGCGGTGCAGAAGTGAGACTCCCGATTCTAGAGGTTTTCAATACTCAGCCCACAAGCAAGAAATTATACCCAATACTAATTCACTTTTTTGAACAAAGGACATTGTCAGAGTGTATAAGATGACAACCCCAAGTAAGATTTAATTATGAGCCAGGGTTTCAAATGCATTTAATGGGAAGGTACTGGAGGAAGTGAAAAGGCCCTGTACTGAGAGGCTGGGGAGTCTTCTCTGGGTCAGGTGCGCTACTCCGCATTCATGAACTTAAACAGTTGGCTACTTTTTTTAAGACTGCCATTTCCTGGGCTGTAGTTTTTTCAAGCTTCCCTTCACGCTCTCTGTCTTAATTTGCTGAGGCTGCTATAACAAAGTGGCACGAATCAGGTGGCTTAAATAAAGGAATTTATTGTCTCGTAGCTCCGGAGGCCAGATGTCTGAGGTCAGCGGAGCTGGATCCCCTGAAGACTGTGTGGGGGATCCCGCTTCATGCCCTTCCCCTTGGCTCTGGTCGTTGGCCGGCAATCTTTGGCGTCCCTTGGCTGGTAGCGGCATCACCCTGATCCCTCCTTCCATCTCTACGTGGCAATCTCCCTGTGTGTGTGCGTCTGTCTTGGGTCCAAAGTTTTCCTCTTTATAAAAACACAGTCATATCTGGTTAGGGCCCACCCTAATGACCTCATCTTAACACGATCATCTGCAAAGACTTTATTTCCAAATAAGGTCATTCTCACGGGTGCTGGGGGCTAGGACTTGAACATCTTTTGGGGTGACACACTTCAACTTGTAACTCTCTGGCCTCAGATTCCAGTGAGCAGGCCTCCTGAGCTATGAGTAGGCTTTCTGTCTGCGGTCCGCCTGTCATTTGTCTTCCCCTGCTTCTCTGGAGGAAGGCAGAGGGGCAGATAGAGGCAAACCCTGATGACCCCTTCCCTCCTGGGTTACACCAGACAAGTCACTCTACCTCTCTGAGCCTCTGTTTCCTCGCTGGCAAGAGGGGATGACAGGTTTACTGAGAGAAGTCAGTGAGCTGAAGCAAAGAAGTACTTTGCTGGCACATGGTCAGTGCTCAAAAGATTATAGATGTTAGTATTTATTCTTGTTAAGTCAAGGAGAGGATGAGGAAGTGACTTCCAACCCTGGCTCCACATTGGAATCCTGTCTGTGAAATTTTTAAAAGTCGTTGGTGCCCAGGCCCCACGAGAGATTCTGACTCGATTGGTCTGGGATTGAATCCAAACACTGATATATTTAGAATTTCCCTGGTTGATTTTATGATGAGGCCAAGATTGAGAACCACTAGAATGGATGGACGCGTTGCAAACACCAGTGAAAAGTCTCAGTGCAGCTGAAAGTCAGGAGAGGTTGGTGTGTAGCCTCTCAGCCAGATGGGCCAGGCTGGGGGAGCTGCCGGTGATGGCTCCTAGAAAACTCGTGAATCGGGTGACCCAGATTTCAGAGCCATTCCTTGTTTCTGGTCTCCCTGAAAGTTGGGTTCCAGGCTCCCCTAACCCGCCCACCTGTTTGTCCACAGCATGGGGTGCTACCCTTCCTGCCTCCGCTAAGAGTGAACGCCATGTAGCTCGAGGTGCTGCCCTCCCGACGGGCATGTGTCTGGAGCACCTGGCACAGAACACAGGGGAGATTTCGCACAGCTGAAGGCACACTTGTGGTGGGGGCTGGCAGGGCGTCATGAGTCCCACCCGATGGGAACTGCCTGCTTCGAATCAGCGTGACTCCCCAGGCCCCTATGCTGGCGCACGGGAGAGCTTCTCTTTCACAGAATGCCTCTCGCTCTCTCGTTCTACCCTCAGCACCAAATCCAATGCATAAACGTGGGCTCTGGAGGCAGCTGTCTGGCACTTGCAGGAGGGACACAGCTTGCGTCAGGAGGTGGTGGGTTCTCAGGCCCCTCTGCTGAATGAGGGGGCAGCTGTGAGGGGCCCTGTCACCCCCCCTTCTCTCCAGCTGCTCTGTCACATCATCCTCAGGACTGGCATCTCCAAACTTGGGCTTTCCGACAGTGCCCCCTTGTCCACGCGGCACCAAACACTTGCCATTCATCCACCCCCTCTAAGTCCCAGAGTCTCCTCAGTCCTCCTGGGGCCGGGCCAGTGACCGCTTGCTTAGTGAGTGAATGAGTAATATTAAATGAAATAGGTAGATAGAAGCGGTTTTTAATGACAAACCTCTATACACTCTCTTGATTTATTGTCACAAAGAGATTAGGAATGTCCATTTGCTCTTCAGCCAAATTAATAAAAGGGTAGCAAGCAAAATAAAGAAACGAGAATCCTCTCCCTCCTGATGTACACAGAATAGGGTGTCTGGTTTGGTGCTTTCCATTTGTTCAATTTCCATAAAAAAAATACATCAGAAGGAAGAGTAGCCAGAGACGATCTTCTCTGAACACAAAGCAGGCTGTTCTAGCTTCATCTGACAATAAGAAACTTGGTTAATAACTCCGACTTAACTTTGGCTTTTGGAAACTCAGGGGAAATACTTCTGCTAGGACAGGGAAATCATTTGCTAAACCCAGAGGCTCTGCATCCGAATCCAGCTCAGCATTCTGGACACCCGACTGCCTTCTGCTGCTGGTGTCCGGAAGGGGAAATGAGCTACTATTTAAGCCGACCACAGGGGGAAATATTAGCTTTTCAGAGAGTGCAGGAGCTCTCTCCATTGCTCTGAAGGGGCTCCCACTGCCGTTTCGGACAGATTGATGCAGTTGAGCCCGGATTTCCTGGCAAGCCCGAGGGGAGTCTTTTCCAGAAGGATCTTAGCGGGCAGAGGCACAGCCTGTCCATGTCTCCTCACAAAAGCGAGCCCCCGGACACATGCTCCCTGTTTCCAGCTGGATGCATATGTTCTCTTTGCACTTTAACAAAAAATGTGCCAAGGTGTGACGTTTACGAACCCCAGCAACCGGGAGCTGTGCACACAAATCCGTTTTGCTTGTGATGTGGGGAAGTGATGAATGGGCTGTTCTGCTTTCCCTCTGGCAGGCCTGCAGCCTTCTTTATTACCACCGAAGTATAAAACCGCCCGGCCGGCTGCGGCTCTCGTCTCCAGCCCTGGCACTGGCCCGAGGCGACCACGGCGCCTGGAGCCCCGGCCGTCTTCTCCAGGAGGCTCCGTGGCTCTGTTGAGAATCATGCCGGGGCAGCTGATCTGTTGGCACCTGCTGGCTTTGCTTTTCCTCCCATTTTGCCTGTGTCAAGATGAATACATGGAGGTGAGCGGAAGAGCTAATAAAGTGGTGGCGAGAATAGTGCAAAGCCACCAGCAGACCGTCCATAGTGGTTCCAGGAGGGAGAAAGTGAGAGAGCGGAGCCACGCTAAAACTGGGACTGTGGATAATAACACTTCTACAGACCTAAAACCCCTGAGACCAGATGAGCTACCGCACCCCGAGGTAGATGACCTAGCCCAGATCACCCCATTCTGGGGCCAGGTACTCAGCGTTCTCTTCTAAGGATTTACTGTGAAAGCGTCGTGAGTTTGCCTGTCCTTGCTCTTTGTTTCACCTTTAATTCTGGGGATGAAGGCTTTCGAGAAATCTGCTGAGCTGCTTGTGGGTCTCTTTTTGGGTTGCTCTGTGTTACGAGGGGGACTGTGGGTCTCTGTTAGAAAATCAGCAGAGGTAGCATGATGGGCTGGGATAGAGAGAGGCTGTGGGGTCTCCCCATAAAAAAGTACAACAGGGGCCTTGCGCTCCCTGCTAGACTGTTTGTTTCCCCCGTTGCATGGACAAGGGAGTGCTGACCTATGCTGATAGCCAAGGGCCTGTGGGTTGTCATTTGCAGATCGTAAGGGAGGTGGGCTTCCTTGATCATTCCCAGCAGGGAGGAGCTGCCCTTTGAGTTTTTCACTTTGATTTGAAAGTTTACTGTGATATTTTTCCAGGCTTGTTGATGTGATTTATGGCATTCTAGGTGGCTAAATGTCTATGTCCAGCCTGTTTGAAAAAGGACCAAAGAATTAAAACACAGACTGTGTATATTTAAAATGTAAACTTTATTGTATGATTTAATGCCTGATAACCACAGAAGACGTGACTAATTTCTCAGAGTATAAGCTCAGCAATAAGGGAACAATCTTTAACTCTTTTAAGGTAGTATGGGAGTGAGTTCAAGTTTCAGTGTAGTGAATGGCAAATCGGTGAATCTCAATTTATTTTAAACATTAAGAATAGGGTTTTTAAATGTCTTTTTAAAAATAATTTAAAAATTTTTAATTGAGGTAATTGATATACAACATTATATTGCTTTTAGGTGAACAACATAAGGAAGAAACATTCTGATTTACCTTGTAGGTATCAAGCTTGCTGAAATCAGATGAGGGGGCAAGGAGAGATACCTTGAATTATATGATATTTGAGCAAATTGGTTTTACTTCAAGAATTGACTGCTTTGATCCATTTAAATAGCCCCCCCAAAAGCACATGCAGCTGAAATCTAAACCTCTTCTACCACAGATAGAGAAGTTGGGGCTGAGACTGGTTATCTGGTCATGCCAAGATCACACACAGAATCATTCGTAGATCTGGAACTAACCTGGGACTTCTCACCACACAGTTCTGTGGGGCTTTGTCAAGAAAAAAATGGCTCGTTTAAGGAGCTGCAGAAGAAATGATGACCTTTAAACACAATCACTTTTTTGAAAGCTTTTCTTAGAGCTGGTCCTTTCATCTGACAATCTTTTGGCTAAAAGATTGGATGATTGATGCTAATTGTGTTTTCCATAGTGGGGAAGATCTATCATTTTTGTCTAAGCCTTGATCTGGACTTTCAATAGATGAGAGCTTCGCTGGATGGTTCCTGGCCGTGGTGGCGTTAGCCCCTAGAAGCAGAGGAAAACAGATGTAGACTGTCATTGGTCATTATTTCTTGGCAATGGACACACAGCAGGCCACTGAAATCCAAACTAATTTCTTCTCCACCCCATCCTCTAGTTCCCCTCGGCATCTAGCATACTGAAATCAGATGAGGGGGGCAAGAAGTCACTTTCTGGCTGTTTTTGAAGCCAAGGGGGGCTTTCAAACTTCCATGGTTTCCTCAAGTATTTCCAAACAAACCCCCAAGGAGAGATACTGAAGAGATTCAGTCATTGGTATTCTAAGCTTTTTCTAAACAACTCTTCTGCCAATGAATATGTAGATCCCCATTGAATTTAGACTGGTACCATTGTTCTTCCTCTTTCCCTCCTTACCCCACCCTTCTTTTATTTTAACTTTCCTTTCTCCTCATTCATTCTTTCACTGATCATTTCCTGCGCTTCTACTATGTACCACGCTTTAGGATGGACATAAATACACCCAAGCTCTTATCTCTGTTCAGTTCTGAAGATTCCAATGCAGATTCCAATGCAGAACTGAACAGAGATAAGAGCTTGGGTGTATTTATGTCCATCCTAAAGCGTGGTACATAGTAGAAGCACAGGAAATGATCAGTGAAAAAACCATGTGACCAAGTCAATGCACAGAAGGCAGTTGGGAAAAGAGTGTTAGAGTGGCGGTGGCCGCTGAGCTGGGTCTCCAAGATGAGACAAAAGGATGGCTGTTTCTGGAAGAAATTTTTTCAAAAAAGTCCAACATGGCCTTGAGAAAGTTCAGGAGGAGGGGAGGAGGCTGGAGCCCCGGAGCTGTGGGCCGAGGATGTGAGATGACTGTAGCCCCAGGCTGGAGGGTGTTGTTAGCCACTTAAAGAGCTGAGATCTTACTTTGTCAGCAAGTATTTTGTTTGTTTGTTCATCGCAGGGCAGTGAGGTGATCCGATTTGTGTTCTAGAAAGGTGGCTCTGCCCCCAGGGTCTTCGATGGATTAGCGTGTGCAGAGAGGGGGCGTGAGCAGACCTGGGCTCCCTTTTCCTGGCATTTTCTTCTCTGTAGCTCTTCATCATTCACCTTTATCAGTCTCCCCTTCTCGTTCCAGACACCTGTCTCTCTCTTTTCCCACTTCCCCTGTGCTCCATCTCTTCCCTCTTCCTTAGGTTACACAGGGAGCTATGGACTCCCTATCCTAGAAGTTCCTTACTAATGGCAGAGCTGAGGGGCTGATCCTAGGCCTCCATCTACAAAACAGACAGAACTGGCCGTAGTGACCCCTTCCTCCTCCCACAGAGCCCATTTGCATGTTCTTGGTGTTCCCACTTGACCTACTTTTGGGATAAAGATTGATGAACTTAAAGGATGATAAACAGTGACTACCTAATTTTCCCTTACCTATGAGAAAATGTCTTAGTTACCACATGCTGTCCATTTCATTCCGAGTCCATCAAAAGACTCACAAATGCTGTTTCATTTGACTGCACTTTAAAGCCAGGCCAGAGGAAGGAACATGTGAAAAGTTGCAGGAAAGTTCTCACGAGGGGCCCACCTAGTAGTAACCCGAAGTCCCTCCCCACTTGGGTGGCAGCTCTATGCTCTCAAAAAACCCCAAGCAGCTCCAGCATGCGCCCCAGTCCTAGTCAGCTCTGGTACTGGGCACCCCCATCGCCTGGACTTAACTTCTCAAGTCTAGATACTAGACTTTGAAAACAAAATCTTTCTAAGTCATTATTTGAGGCTTTGGGAATGACTTGAGTATCTTTGCATCTTAGTGCTGGAAAAAAATCCCTAGAGGCACATGGAACTGAGGGGAGAGTTCATGTTCCAGTCTAGTGATCTTTCTGACATTCTTAATGTCTCAGTATTTCATTCTTAAACAAATGGTTCCACTTCAGGACATCACCTCCTTCCACTCCCTTCTTCTCTAAAATCCATTATTGGCACTAGATTTCTTGGAACTTAAAGAGCTGTCTTCCCACATTTGCAAGACCATACTGGGAAATTATGGAATACATCTCAGATTGCATTTTTGGACTAGAAGGTCGGGCAGTGCTGTGGCGTCTGACTTCCCAAGTGTCTGAAAGCCCTTGTCTCCAGGCAAATTACTTTTGCTGACTTCCTTTTCCTCCACCAGTTTTACAACAGGTTTTCATAGATTCTCACGCCTGCCTGTAGCTGGGTCTCACAGACTGAAGACTAGACGAAGAGTTAGCTCCCAATAGTAGCCCCTGACCATTCAAGATGTGGCCTCTGGGCTGTTGCAGGGCCACAGACACTATTCTGCGTTTTGCTGGATGGCTTGGTGGAAACCTTTCAGAAAAAGGAATGAGAGAGTAAGGAAAAGGTCCAAGCCCATTTTTGATCTTAAAAAAGTGAAGTCAAAATGAACAGCAATGTGCAGCCTTCATCGTCTTTTCTGCTGAAGTTTCTAATGATAGAGAAAATGTGGATTTTACATTCTTTCTTTCTCCCTCCGTCTCTCCCTCTCTTTTCTTTCTCCACTCCCTCCCGCCTTTCCTTTTTAAAATGAATCCCATTCCAACAATATACTGTTTTCAAGAAACCATTGAATTACAGTTGGTGTCTAGGAACATTTCCACAAGTATTTTGTATGATATCATTAAAAGGCAAGTTACCAATTTAAAGGAGACTCCAAATTTTATAGGCAGTTCTAACTCTGCCTAGCTCCTTGAAGTGAAAGCATAAATTTCAGAAATTTATCTTTCAATAAATAAGCATTTAACTCAGTGTCATGTTGGAATGCATTCAGTATCCATTACGTACTCATTAAATATTTGCTCAAACAATGTAATCATTTAACTTTTGAAGTGGAATATAAAACAGTACATGGTGTTTAATATTTATTAAAAGGAAGTTGAAGTTGTTCCAAGATAGAGAAACAACTTCCCTGACTTACCACCATTGATGTTACTATTTATTAACTGGAGTTTAATATTTTAAAAATACTTTTGAGTGGTTTCTTGATGAAACCAAACTTAATATGAGACAATTCGTACAAATGTATTGGACTGCTGAATACTTCACTTCCTTGATGTCCTAAGGCAATTTGAATATGTTGCGGCTGTTTAAAAAGCTAGCGCTACACTTGAAGAGTGTCTAAGAACGCTCAATCCATTATCATGAATATAGTCTTAATCACCATGTTTGAAGTTGATCATTCTTATTTGAGGGTTATCTAACTCAATCCAGCTACATCTAAGAGTCCTGGCAGTTCGGAAAGAAGCCATATTCCTGGAGTTTCCTTCTTTGCTCTCATCAGTACCAGCAGAGAAGTAGTTCTTACACATACTGCCCCAACCCCCCAGGCCCACGGGCATTCCCTTCCAAAGGATTTCCAAGGGATGTGTTCTTCTGCTGGCTCTCTTGTTGCCTTTTCCTTTTGATCTTTGGTTCTTCTTAGCTACCTCGAGTCCTTCACTGTTGACACCCCCACCCCACACCTTCTTTTCTGATGTTGTTGGGGGTTGTTTGGATGTATGCTTAGGTAGGGAGCAAGGTCAGAGGAAATCCAAAGGTCTTATTTACCTTGCCCTGAAGCTTCTCTTTGCCTCTCTTTCAAGTCTCCACCCACCGGTGGACTGCCCCCAGACTGCAGCAAGTGTTGCCATGGAGATTACGGCTTCCGAGGCTACCAAGGGCCGCCTGGACCTCCCGGCCCCCCCGGCATTCCAGGTAAGGACGGGCGAGAGGAGCAATTGCCAGCCTAATAGAGATGGTGCCAAACCGAGAGCCAGGGTGAAGCCAAATAATCTGAGACGGGTGTGTGTGATTTAGTGTACACGTGGAAAATCCGGGACACAGTTGGAAGTTGCGTAGACTGGGTTTATGGAGACAGTTTAGGTGGAACGGCATAACCTCTGTCACATTCATTGGCTATTCCCCTTGAAGGATCCCACAGCGGGAGGCGCCCTGGGGCACTCGGTTCATAGGCTGGAGGCCCTTCAGCATCAGGGAGTATGGAACTGCGTGACCTTAATGGGGACGCACGCTGGTTTCAGCGCTTCTGCCACAGTGTGGTTCATGCGATACACCCTGTGTCACTTCCAGGGAATGCATGAAGGAAGGGTGTGAAGGAGAGGAGGGCTTACAGGTCTGGGTTACAGGCATCTCCACGGTGCCATTCCCTGAGCTGCCCACCTTCGCTCGGATTCTCTCTCCAGCTCTGGTTCCCTTCCCCTGGCCCCAGGGTCTGTCCTGTGCAGCTGTCTCTCAGCTGACTTTTATGCCTCTCTTGGGCTCATGGGGACATTTTTGCTCTCCTGCACCATGCGTGGTGGCACGGGGAATGCTGTGGAGCTTCCTGGGGTCCCTCCAAACTCTTCTGCCATCCCCACTCTACTGAGTGGTGCCCCAGGCCTGTGGAATGTGATGGAAGTCCTCTTTTTTTGTTCTGTTCTATAAAGTTGTCTTTCTTTCTTTAGATTTTATTTATTTATTTTTAGAGAGGGGAAGGGAGGAGAAAGAGAGGGAGAGAAACATCAATGTGTGGTTGCCTCTCCCCTGCCCCTTACTGGGGTCCTAGCTCGCAACCCAGGCATGTGCCCTGACTGGTAATCGAACCGATGACCCTTTGATTTACAGGCTGGGCTCAATCTACTGAGCCACACCAGCCAGGGCTCTTTATTTTTTTCATTACTGTTTATCTCCCTTTTCTCCTCCTCTCCCCGCTCCCCCCCCCCAATATTGTTCTTTCTTATTTTACCTTGTTGATACTAATCTTTATCAAATGAGGTTTAATTTTTTAAATACATTTGAGTGCTTTCTTGAATGTAACCAAGTTTAAAGGGAGAAAATGCTCCTCTAGGCTCTAAACTGTGATCACTGGCTTGGAATCAATGTCATTCACTGTTGAGGGCAGCCAGCAGGACGTTCAGCGGCTGGAGGTAGGAGACAGTCAGACCCTCCTAAAACCTCGGGTCTAAACTCATCTGAGGTGACAGGACAGGCTGGCCTTGGCTTAATGTTTCTCACCTGCAACAGTTTGGTCATTTGCTCAGTAATCTGTAAACAAAGTCACAGTTCATATGGAAGGATTGCAGTCCTGGTGATAACTGATCAAAGGTAGCAGGCAAGAGAAACAGCAAAAGGGCCTGAAGTTCAACAAATATAAGACAAAAAGAGGGATAGGAATTGCCCCAGAGTGGCAAAGTGAAGTGAAGTGGTGAAATTGTTATCCAAATCTTGCTTTCAAAATTATAAAAAATTATAATTTTTTATCAAAGATTTTACATGTCCTTTTCTGAAAACATCAGAAAGGCAGAAAGGTATATTTAAGGACACAAAATCACTCATGATTCATCCATTTAGAAAATAACACTGTAAATATTTTTATGTAGTTTGTTCTAGTCTTTTCCCCCTCCTTGGATATAACACACACATATATGCATGATACTGTGTGTGTGTGTGTGTGTGTGTGTATCCACACATAGTATTATGCTATCTTTGATTTATAATCTTTTATCTAAAAATATAATGAGTATTTTTAATATTATTAAGTATTTTTGTTTAGCATTCTTTTTTTGTCACTATATAACATCATCTCCTGGTTGTATAGTTTTTAAAAAATTTAGCCCTTCCAGCGTTGGTGGACATTGAGGTGGTTTCTAATCTTTGCTATTATAAATGATGCTTTGATGATCAGTCTTCTGCACAATTTTCTTTTCACCCAAATCTTACTTGATGAGAATAACAGGCTTTGGAGCCCTAACAGTATCTAAGGTTGTTTTCAGTGTCCGGTTTAACAGAGATCCAATTTGATGGCACCTCCATGGCTGCATTTGGGACTGTTTCCAATGGTCCCCTTTCACAATTAAGTGTGTACATTTTGGGTCTGTGTTAGTATAAAAACAGGTGATATGCGTGATGGGGAGTCCTCATGTGATGATGTCTGGTTGTTTAAGGAAACCATGGAAACAATGGCAATAACGGAGCCACTGGTCATGAAGGGGCCAAAGGTGAGAAAGGAGACAAAGGAGACCTGGGTCCACGTGGGGAGCGGGGGCAGCACGGCCCCAAAGGCGAGAAGGGCTACCCAGGGATTCCACCCGAACTGCAGGTAATTCGCCCTCGGCGCGTCTCCGGGTGACTTTTAAATTGTCCCGATCTCGAGGGGCCGGAAATCGGAAGGCTCGGTGCTCTGAGGAGCTCTCATCAGGGCGGAGGACTCTGAGGCTCAGTTCGTTAGTCCCTAGTGCAAGGTGTTTGCATAAAGGTCTGATCCACTTAGAGTGCTTTCCCATCATTCCTAGGGAGAAGAGGAATTTTTGAAGAACGAAATTCAGCTCCCTCAACAGACCAAATACAAGGCAACCCTGAATATCAGCTCATTTCCCATTTTCTAAATTTGAAGATATGCTAAACAGAAAGGTTTTTGGCAATTTGAATATGTAAACTTCTGGATCCATAAAATATTATAAGTTGACATTTGAACATCCCATTTATTTTTTAACTTCTTTACACTTACATATTTAAATCACATGTTAGGGTACAAATATTGCTTTCTACAACTCAGATTTTTATGGCACAATTTTTATGTAAATATTTCTCATCAGTATCTTCTTTATCACTAGAGACATTTTCTTTTGTTATCTACCCATAGATTTCCAAACCAGGTCATATTTATTTCATCTTAAAGTTTTAAAAATTTATTTATGGGGCTGTAAGTGGACCAGCACCAGTTTGTCTATTTTTTTATTTCTTTTTTAAATGATCTTGAAATTTTTTTTGCTGCCAGTAACATCTAAAACTTGAAAATATGAAGTTAGATTACCAAGAAAATTATTACATCTGAATTGTTTTTGGCTAATATTTTTAAAATCAATTCTTCCAAGGGATTCCTATGAACATTGAAAATTAGCATTTTTTTGTTAAAGTTGTTTCCAGCTGCTGTCTTTCTGAAACAGTACACTGCGGTTAAAATAAAGTAATTTGAGGGAATGCACTGAAATATGAGAGATTTTTAAAGAACTAGAATATAAAGCAACTCTTTGAAAGACCAGTGGGGGAAAACCTTGCCTTTCGTTTGGGCACAGACAGTGGTTGTGTGACCACGGATGAACTCCACCATGTCCCGCAGCCTTGTAAACTAGAGGTCCTTTGTGCTACTCTAATTGCTTTTGTGGTTTTGTAATTTTTTAATGACTATTGCTTAATAATTTTAGCAACCTGGGAGCCATGTGCCACTATAAATTTACAAAGAAAAGGAGACAGATGCCACTTGGCCAGGTTAAAAGTACCTGATAAGATGGATGATAAACATTCTCAAAGTTGGAAACTCTAACCCCAAACCTGTGAGTGCTAATACCCTGGCTAAAGGCTTCTCAGATTCTGGATATGCTGATGTGCATTTAAGATTTCACCCAAATTTTCCCAATATGGTTTGATATTAGAATTTTAACATTTCTAAGAGTGTTTAAAGTCTAACGTTCCTTGAAACACATGATCAGAAGAACTGTTATATGTGATCATTTTAATGGCTCCATAGCATAAAAATGTTAGAAATTACCATGATTTATTTAATTCGTTCTTCATAGGTTAATGTTTAAGTGATTTCCCATCTTGCTATTACAAATATTGTTGAAATAAACTCGTGTATAAAAACTTTACTTCTTTAAAATAAAGGGCCTATTAATTAACCCCCAGCTCTTTCCTTAGATTGCATTCATGGCTTCTCTGGCAACACACTTCACCAATCAGAATAGCGGCATTATCTTCAGCAGTGTGGAGACCAACATCGGAAACTTCTTTGATGTCATGACTGGTAGATTTGGGGCCCCTGTATCAGGTGAGATGTAAAAACAAGTGAATGGCTGAATGAATCAATCTAGCAATCAAGAAGGAAGAAAGGAAGTCAAAGAGTTGGAGGACGGTGGAAGGAAGGAAGGAAGGAAGGAAGGAAGGAAGGAAGGAAGGAAGGAAGGAAGGAAGGGAAGGGCAGGAGGAAAGACATGAAAGAGGAAAGAGGAAAGGAAGAAAGAAAGGGGAGAGGGAACAAGGAATGGAAGACATTAAAGAAATTGAGAATTGTTTTCAATTCTGGTTAAAACAAGCAGCTCATATATAGATTTCTGTTGAATTTCAAAGTAAATAAATTAGAATCTGAAAAGACAAAAACACTGTAAAAAGTAATGGCCATGATTACTAAGATTACTATCTCTGATTTGAACGGAATCAAACAACCCCTAAGAGAGCATAGTTATCTTGGACTTTGAAAGTTCTTAGATCATGATTCCCACAGGTTAAATGTGTCATAACACTATTCTCTCCTTGCCACCATCCCAAGGATGGTCTGATCCTTTAAAAAATCTTTAAACATTAAAAAAAATGTAAGCACTTTTGTATTCATTTCCCATTGTTATTGTAACAAATTGCAAACTAAGGAGCTTAAAACATAAAATTATTCTTTTACAACTCTGGAGGTCAGGAGTCCAAAACCAGTCCAAATGGGCTAAACTCAATGTATAGAAAGTGCTGGTTCTTGAAACTCCAGGGACGTGCCTATTCCAGTGTGTTGAGGCGGCCAGTATCCCGTGTCCCTTGGTCAAATCACTTTAATCTCTGCTTCCATTGTCACGCCACCTTCCCCTCACAGGTTCTGACTTTTTTGGCTCTCTTATTGGGACAGTGTGATTCCCTTGGAGCCGGGATAATCCAGGATAATCTCCCCATCTCAAGAGCTGAACTTAATAATACTTGCAAAGTCCTTTTTGCCACATAAAGTAACAGTTACAGATGCTGGGGAGGTTAGGACATGCGCATCTTTGAGAGCCATTGATCAGCCCCCACAATTTCCTTACTAGCACCAAAGCTGCTTCGGGCTTGTCTTGCACTTTCCCCTGTCCCAGCTTTGGAAATACCCACTTTTCCGAGGAGCCCTTTCCCTTTAATTGGAGAGTAGTCTTTAGAAACCAAGATCTGGGTAATAGATGTGATCATTGCTACTGTGATGTTTGTGTATGTTTTTATACTAACCCCTGTACACACACACACACACACACACACACACACACACATTTTCAATATTGTGTCAAAACAATTTAAAGCAGTTTGAAGGTGAGAGTGGACAAAGAGTCACTCATACAAATAAGAGCCAAGAAGAACCTACATACACACAGATTATCAACAAAAGAGGTGTGAAGTCATGTGGTGCTGGCAAGGAGTGGCGGTCCCTAAGTGGGGGCGACAGCAGATTAAGAAAGACACAGCACAACACAGTTTAAGGAAAAGCAGGGACCAGGTGGGGCATTGTCCTTGGATGGAGAGACAATGACCCTGAACCTGTTTACCGCATTTATTTTTTAGAGCTGGTTACATAGACCTCAAGGAGGTTTTGCAGACTTAAGAAAATGCTGCGCGCAAAGATTGTTCCATTCCCAAGCTATCTAAATGATAAAATATTTCTTCCGCAAAAGTTACAGTCGCATTCAGCAGAAGCTTGCGGTTATCTATCTCCTTCTCCACCCCGACGGGTTCTGGCTGCCGTCAGCTGCTGTCAGATGCAAGCGGTCAAGCGTGGCTTTGCCAGCACTTAACCTGAGCTTTGACGTCAGCCTTCACCATCCTCCACAATGTGGCTTACCTCCTGCTATCTCACAGTCCTCAATGCACCATATAGTGATGTAAATGTGAATAACTACCTCTCTTTTTCAGGTGTGTATTTCTTCACCTTCAGCATGATGAAGCACGAGGATGTTGAGGAAGTGTACGTGTACCTCATGCACAACGGAAATACAGTCTTCAGCATGTACAGGTGGGTGGCCTTTTCTATCATAGGTAACATCCACGCCACCATGTTTGCTCAAAGGATGGCCGATGCCAGGGGACTGCAGAGGAATCCACAGAGCCTGAAGCGGACCATGTCATCCCTGAGAGCCCCCATACACCAATATATGGCCGGGAAGACACCACTGGGAAGAAATAAACCTGATGTGGGCATAAACAAGTTAAGAGGCCTTGAACTAGCAACACTCCCCATAACTAGTAATTTGTATTCTTTTCTTAACTCATGATCTCTTTCCTTCTCCCTCATCCTTCTGCCTTTCTGCTCCCCCAGGCCCGTTGCTCAGAGTTGAGCCCCACTGACAGCTTTCTGTACCAGCCCTGCGGGCAGGCGGCCTGAGAGCTGGGAGCAGGTTCTTCTCTTTCAGCTGCGCTTCTGCTCTGACACATATCCTAGCAACCTGGCACTAGGCCTCCTTTGAAAAAATGTTTTAAAAAGAAATAGTTCAACCTGCTCTGCTGTAAGCTTAGGATGTGGGAGAGAGGCAGAGAGGCAGCATCTTCCCCAAAAGTAAATTGGTGGTGAATTATCTATAAAAGACTTTGGGGCTATTCTCATTCAATGTTATTTTAATGACTTGTGAGGATTGCCATGTTTTCTTCTGGAGCCTGGCCTCCAGTGGTGGGGAGTGGGGGAGGGCACTATGTGTGAAATGCCAACAGAGAAAGGGATGAGTCTGGTAGATGAAGACGCTGCAACATTGGGATCCAGAAGATAGTGGCTGCAACGCTCAGGAACGCCATTTTCTTCACCGGTTCCAGGTTGGGGGAAGGTATGAGGCAGAGAGGGAGGGGGAAGGAATTGTGTGGAGGTTGGGAGGCAGGAGGTGGGGCTCTGCCTGGTTTTTGAAAATGCAGCCTGGTGAAAGCGGTTCTGCCTTCTGTAAAACTGACTTCCAAATTCTCTCTGGCCATTGTCTTTGCCACAATCAGAAGGAGGAAAGAGCAACAGGCTTGTTGAAAGTGTTATGCATCAGGCATTCTATTCGGAGCACTTTGCCACATTGTTCTCCACTCACCTTCACCCAACCAAGGACAGCGAGGAAATGTAGAGTGGCTCCTATGGAAGAGGGGCCATGAAGTCTGGTGAACAGCTAGCCTTCTCTGCCCCCTGGGCTACCAAGTATCTGCTGAACCCTCTTCCTACTTTTAGCTACATGCCTCCCCATCTCTCTCCCCAGAAGTACCCTGAACTGCGGTTAACACATGCAGCCCAAAGTCCAGAATCTCAGGGTGAGGGATCCTTTTCTTCAAGTCAGTTTCTAGGCTGTTTTTCTTTTTGGCCCCTGATCCTGTTGTCTGGGCGGGTCTTCCTTGTTTATTTGTCTCTGTGGCTACATGTAAAAACGTAAGTTCTCTTTGGGGTCTTTCACAGCCCACTTTCTGCTGGTACAAATTTGAAGGCCAAGAGGATTTAGTTGAACATCCTGAGCTCTTTTTAGATCAGGGTTGTTTTTTTTGGGGGGGGGTGGGTAATACCATTTTCTCAGAAACTAACCAGAATTTTGAATTATTTGCTACCAGTCAGTTATATGCGTTGTTAAACCACATCCAATGTTATTTTCTTGGCAGATTGTTTTTCAGCCTGTTATTCCCTTGATTTCTTGTCTTCATGTCTTTTTCTCTCAATGTAATGGTGGCTCCCAGAAGTCTTTCAAAAATAATACATTTTGGTAGAACAGCAATTTTCTAAAACCTTTTTTTATTAAGGTATAATTGACAAACAACATTATATTCATTTCAGAAGCACAACATAATGGTTCAATATTTGTATCTACTACAAAATGATCACCACAATAAGTCTAGTTAATATCTATCATATATAGTAAAATAACTTTTTCTTGTGATAGGAACTTTTAAGATTTACTCATGTAGCAACTTTCAAATATGCACCACAATATTATTAACTATAGTTGCCATGTCATAGATTGTATCCTCATGACCCATTTATTTTATAAATGGAGGTTTGTACCTTTGATTCCTTTAACCATGTTTTTGTCCTCCTCACCCTGCCTCTGGCAACTACCAATCTGTTCTTTGTATAAGATTTTTATTTCATTTTGATTCCATGTGTAAATTCATATGGTATTTGTCTTCCTTTGTCTGACTTATTTCACTTAGTTTGATTCCCTCACAGTTGATCCCTAATTGATCCCTATTGTCATAAATGGCAAGATTTCATTTTATATAGCTGAATAATATTCCATTGTTTATATAGACACCATATTTTCTTACTCATTCATCCATTGATGGTCACTTAGGTTGTTTCCATGTTTTGTAATGCTGCAATGAACATGGGGGTACATATATCTTTTGAAGTTAATGTTTTCACGTTCTTTGGATAAATATCCAGAATAGAATTGCTGGATCCTTTGTTAGCTCTATTTTTACTTTTTTGAGGAACCTCTATACTGTTTTCCATGTTGGCTGCAGCAATTTACATTCCTTCCAACAATACACTAGGGTTCTCTTTTCTTCTCATCTTTGCCAACATTTGTAATTTCTTGTCTTCTGATAATAAAGATAATAATCTTGTTTTTTGATTTTGATAATTGGTATGGGGTAATACCTCATTGTGGTTTTGATTTTCACTTATCTGATAATTAATGAAGTTGAATACCTTTCCATGTACCCCTTGACCATCTGTGTGTCCTTTTTAGAAAAATGTTTGTTCCGATCCTCTTTCCAATTTTAATCAGATTATTTGGGGTTTGTTTGGTTTTTTTGTTTTGTTTTTTTTTGTTTTTTTTTGCTTTTAAGTAGGATAAGTTTTTAAACTATATTTTGAATGTTAACCCTTTATCAGGTATATGATTTGCAGATATTTTTCCCACTCAGTAGGATGTCTTTTCATTTGTTGATGTTTTCCTTGGCTGTACAGAAGCTCTTTAGTTTGGTGTCGTCCCACTTATTTACTTTTGCTTTTGTTACCTTTGCTTTTCGTTTGAAATTCCAAAAATGATAACTAAGACTGGTGTCAAGGAGCTCACCACCTATGTTTTCTTCTACTGTTATGGTTTCAGGTCATACATTCAAGTCGTTCATTCATTTTGAGTTCACTTTCGTATAGGGTATAAAATAGTGGCCCAGTTTCATTCTTTTGCATGCAGCTGTCCAGTTTCCCCTACACTGTTTATTAAAGAGACTGTCCTAGAAAGGCACTATGGTTAATCCACCAGGTTGTGTCACAGGCTGTGTCTATTAGACTGAACAGGAAGTCTTAATAGGCCAACATCAACTGTATCTCTGTTCTTTCTGGTATAAAAGCACTTGGCTTTTCATCTCTATTAGGCCCCAACATTCTGCTTCCTCTGCTTCCAACACGTCAGTTCCTGTCTGATCTCACCTATGTTAGAAACAACTTTCTAAATGAAGAAAAGAGTATTTTAGCTTTTCAATCACTTCCTTTATTAGAGGGTAAGCTTGTAGGCATTAGGTCTGTCTTCCAAATTATCACATGTTTTCTCAAATGTTTTGCCGCAGCATAACGTGGATGTCCAGTTTCAAGTCCATAGGGTTTGTTTTCTTCACTGCTCTCTGCCTGACCATGAGTCAATGCGACCTACATACGGTCGCTGACCTCTGAGGGTTCAACTTACAATTTTTCTGCTTCACAAATGTGCAGAAGCAATATTCATTCAGTAGAAACCATACTTTGAATTTCGTGATGCCAGGCCGCAGCAGGAGCCACAGCTCCCAGCCAGTCACATAATCACGAGGGTAAATAACTGATACTCTACAGTGCATTCACGGTGTTAGACGATTTGTCCGACTGTAAGCTAATGTAACTGTTCTGAATGGGTTTAAAATTAGCTTGGCTAAGCTATGATGTTCAGTAGGTTAGGGATAGTAAGTACATCTTCACCTTAGGATATTTCAACTTACCATGGGTTTATTAGGACATAATCTCATCATAAATTGAGGGGTATCTGTATTTTACTTTGGGACATGGCAGCAGCCTCTTTAGTACCAGATTCTAAATTAGTTAGGGTAGACTAACCTGCTGTAACATTGGCCCAGTGTATAGACTTGAACATAGTAGAATTTCCTGTTTGTTCCAGTTGTGGTGGACAACAGAGAGCTTTCTTCTACACAGTCTTCAAGAACTCAGGCTTCAACGTGTAACTTCTATGGTCATTCTGGTCATTGTCATTAGCATTACACACAATTATAATGAGAAATGATCAAGGGGGGTGTTTAGAGGGTTGCACTGGTCAATTGTTATGTAAGTGGCACATTTCATTTCTGTTCACACATCATTTAAGGATCTCAATCACAGGACTATATGTAATGCATGAGAACTGAGAGAGAAGGACAGATTTTGGTAAAGAGCAGGCTGTCCACTGCAAAACTAAGTAGTTGGTACCTTTTTTATTTTCTCTCCAGCTATGAAACAAAGGGGAAATCGGATACGTCCAGCAACCATGCAGTGCTGAAGTTGGCCAAAGGAGATGAGGTTTGGCTGAGAATGGGCAACGGCGCTCTTCATGGGGACCACCAACGCTTCTCTACTTTTGCGGGCTTCCTGCTTTTTGAAACTAAGTAAATACATGAATAGACCAGCTCCACTTTGGGGAAGAATTGTAGGTGAACTGGTATTTTTATAATCTGAGGAAAATTAGAGTTGATGGCTCTACATATTGTTTTTTTTTTTTTTTTTTATAAATTATTGGTTACATTGCTAATCATGCTACAGATACAGCAATAGTGTGGGATGACTCAGGGGCTCAGAAGACAAAAACACAAAACAGTTTTCTCAAGTGACCTTGACTAATATACTTACCACTTTTATCACTCTTCCCTAGGCACCTAAAAGAGAATTCCCCTCTTGATACAGGTTGGAAATAATTGTTCCCATCAGAGAAGTCATTTGCAAAGAGCTTTGGTCGCTCTGTTTCTAACTGAATAGCAGCTTTCAGGAACCCTCGAGGATTTGGGTTCATCATTATAACTGCAGCAAACAGGATGCAGTGATCATGGCGGCGCTGGGCAAGAACACGGCCACTGCTGGGATCAAAGTACGAGAAACATTTGTAAAGCCTAGACTGGGAAGTTACACTTTGATCCAGTGGGTCAATATTCATGAATAAAGTATAGATTTTTTTCTTTTTAGGTATTCCTGATAGCTTTTAGATAGCACAAATATTCACAGTGCCCAGAGATAATGGACTCATACTTTTTCAATAAGGATACTGCTATCATTAAATCCTAGCTTCTAATAGTTTGTATTAGAATTTTCTCATAATCCAGAATTGGGCTGACCAGATCTAGTTGATGAGACTGATTCTCTTCCCTTACGTTTCTTAGAGTACAATAGATCTTTGGTGACGCTGACCTGCAGAGCCAGCTGAGGTGAGTTCAGGTCCACATCGTATGGATATCGTCACCTTCTTTTTCTCAATTTAGAAATTACCCTAATAAACTTTACACATGCTGACAGGTCATGTTGAAGAAGCTGTACACTCAGTTATATACAGCCAAACTAACAGATACAAAACCTAAGGGAATTCCACTTAGAAGATGTACAATAAAAATCTCTTAACCTTTTTAAATAAAAATGATATGACATTTTCGATTACTGTATTTAACCAATATTCACAGAGCAGCTGTGCCACTTGACATTTACTTATCCCTCCCCCCAAAAATCTATTCTTCAAGTATTAAATTAGTCACCAAAGTAATATTCATGAGAATGTACCACAGATACAGTCTGAATACCCAAAGATAGTACCTAAAATTGGTTTATTTAAAACAAAGCATCACTGAAGTATGTGATTACCTTGATGTTGAATCACATTTAAAATGCACTGATAGAGAGTTGTCTATCTGACAAATATCATATATGAAGTCCCTTAGAAATAATGAGCTCTTAATTTATTTTCAGTTATAATTTGAATTCCCACAGAGGCTTTTAAACTGTGGGTTTACTTGTATTCATCAGCTGGAGGCAGAGAAAATCAATTATGGCTGCCCTATTAGCTAACAGTGTGTTTCATGCTCAATTCAGCCTTTGACCCTTTTCATTTGCAAATATTTTCGAACTCTTCCTGAATCTACATACACTGCTATTTAAAAGTGAACAGATATTAGCTATAATGTGCTTGACTGGTAATATTTTTGTGATTTTGTATTATGTCCCCTGCCCGTCACCCCTTCCTCCAGAGCAGTGGGGTCATGGGGTTGAAGTTTACTATTACCAAATATCCTAAATATTCTGTAAAGGTGCATTGGCAATAGATATTTGGATGTTGCATGCTGTCCAAAAGAATTCCATATCTAAAGAACATACACTGCAACTAAAGTGCCTTGAGGAAGATATTGGCCTGGATTTAGGTCAGATTGAGGCAAGAAAAATGTAACAAACATTATGTGAAAAATAAACACATCTTTGTTACATGTACTGTTTCATAATGTTCTTAATAAAGTTGAACAGTCATAGAATTGAAAGTCACTATGATTTGTTAACACAACGTTAAAATATTTTCATGCAGATGATGCGAAATCATACAATCAATTATGTGGGTACAGAGCAGCGTCACTTGTCTCCTAAACTCCACTTTTCAGTTATTTTATGTTATAACTTCAACCTGAGTTTTGAAGACATTGATGTTTAGAGGACCCTTAATGAGCTCTGTGTGTGTTGAAGGGGAAGTGTTCCTCATCACAGGCCGAAGTCTTTATGTGTTAATGCCTAAATTCCAGTTTTCACCAAGATTTGGTTTCAGCTGGTAGAAAGCACTTGGGGCTTGCAGATGAGTCCCGGGTGTGGTGAAGACTAATTAGTAAGGAAGGTGGGAAAAGGCCAAGATAATTATCAATGTTTCACATGTGACACATCACCAGAATTTGATTTGAAAGTCTAGGAAGTAGTAGGTAGGGGTCACGGGAGATCTAAAGGTATCAGCTAAGCAACCAACTTTTAAATTCTAAAACCCAAGGGAAGGCAAACTCCGTAAATGAAGCCTGTGGGTTTCTGCTTGCTCCAGAGATGCATCCTGTAAGTGCAGAGCTGCTCCACAAAATGATCAGGTTGAATGAGTTTCCAGTGTAGAAAGAGTTGCATTTGAACTTTGAACAACAAAGAGATTATATTAAAGGAATTTCGCTGAGCAAATTGTGAACAAAAGCTGAAGTCAAAAATATTCAGGGAGAGGATAAAATAATTAAACGTGAACTGCAAAGGGCATGGCTAGAAATGATAAAACATCTGTTTTGTGCAAAGATAATGTGCTATTTGTTGCAGAAGCTACTCAACATTTAAAGTGCAATACTTACCTTCCATGAGTTTTAACCCAACAAGAGAAAAATTCTGAAATGCCCAAAATTGCATTACAGTAGGCTGGAGGGTGGGAGGAAGAGGCAGGAGCTCACCAGTAAACAGTCAGGTCCTGAAACCAACAAAAGACCCATAGCATTCCTGAGTGGGTGTTGAAACTGAATAAACTTCCAAGCCACTATCTGGAAAGAATAGCTGTCCTCCACAGCTTCTTGCTTACACATGCCCACAACCAACACAGAAGCATGAAATACTTGCCCGCAACCAGCACAGAAGCATCAAATACTTCTTCCTTACAGACTATTCACCTATCCCAGAACTTTCTTTTATTCACCTTTCCCCAACCCCCTTATCTATAAATCTTTTTTATAGCCACATAAATCTTTTCAAAGCCACTTAAATCTTTCTCTCCCAAACACACCATATAAAAGAGCTCTGCCAACCGTAGGACAGTGGACATGTTCACCTTCTCCATCTAGCCCTGCTGCTGGTGGTTTAGAATGTACATCCCACGACCTTCTCCTTTTTTTCCTCTCCAGCGTATAGCTCAATAAAGCCTATCTTTCAGGAAAACTTTTGGTCTCAAAGGTTGTTTTTGAACAAACCCAATGGAGGAAGATAGATAGATAAGAGAGGCTAAGTGTAGAGATGGCATAATGTAAAGAAGAATGTTTTAATAGCCACAGAAGGCAAAGGGTTGGGGGTTCACAGGAGAGGGAGACAATACAATACCCAGCTCAGAGCAGGAGAGGGCTGTGGAAGAGGCAGTATTTTATGGCTAGAGACAATTTCATGCTCTATCACGTTTAGAGTGTTACTTTTCAAAATATTGTTCTGTTCTGATTTAAAAAAAATACTGTAGGAATTTTATAAAATACATAAAAACATTTAGTATAAAAATGAATCATCTCACCAAACTTAGTATTAGCATTTTGAATGTATATGTCAGTCTTTTCTTGCATATCTTTATCATTTTTTTTTATTTTCAGGAACATAGTAATAGAACAAATCATTTGACATTACACTTTTTATATATTTTTGTTTCTTGCTATGGTTTGCCTTAACATATTAAGAACATTCTCAAATGTTATTAAGGGTTAATTTACTTAACCTTTTCCATTTTGGGAAATATTTTTGCTGTTTCCAGTTTTTTTTCCATTATAAGTAATTTGATCTCTATCCCAAATAATATGGGTTCTTGATGCAAAGCTCCTCAAACCATTTTAAATAGGGATGGTAGAAGAATCTTCTAACATTAATCTTTGACTCTAGTTCCTAAAACTCTTGTGATTTTCTAAGCATTAAGAACATTAGAAGCATCTTTTGTTTTAATATTTGGTCTTTTGCCCTGGTTCCTGACACAGAGGTCTTAAATCACTTGGGATTTCTTGGTGACTGTACTTTTTTTTTTTTTTTTTTTTAAATGAGGTAACTCTTGGTGGTCTCCCAGTGGGGACCAAATCGTGATTAGAAGCTTGGAATTTTCAGTCCTACACTTCCATCTTCCAGTGAGGGAAGAGGAGCTGGAAATGGAGTTAATGATTGATCATGCCTGCATCATGAAGGCTCAATAAAAAACCCCAAAGTATGCGATTTAGAGAACTTCTGAGTTTATGAAGACATCCACATGCTGAGAAGATGTCATACCACAACTACATGGGGACAGAAGCTCCTATGCTTGGAACCCACCTGGACCTCACCATATATATTTCTTTGGCTATTCATCAATACCCTTTATTATATCCTTTATTCTACAATAAATTGGTTAACGTATTTGTTTCCCTGAATTCTGTGAGCTGTTCTAGGAAGTAACTGAATCCAAGTAGGGGGTCATGGGAATCTCCACTTTTTAGCTAAGTCAGACAGAAGTCGTGGGTACCCTGGGGACCTACAACTTCCTTTCGGCGTCTAAGTGAGGGGCAGTCTCATGAGGCTGCGTCCTTAATCTGTGGGGTCTATGCTGCCTCCAGTTAGTGTCAGAATTGAATTGTATTGTAGGACACCCCACTGGTGCCACAGAGGATTGCTGGTGTGGGGGACGGAAAAGAACCCACACATCTGGAGTCAGAAGTGTTCTGAGTGTGGTAGTAGTGTGAAAGTAAAAGAGAAGCACACAGAAGTGAGTTTTCTCACTTTCCCACATGCAGAATACATTCGCTCTCCTGCAAAGTCCTCCGAGGTGTCGTCCCATTATGGCATCAGCTCAAAGTCCAGAATCCCACATATCCTTCAGGGCCAAATGCGGGTCAGGCTTTTTGAACGTAGTTCTTCAGTTCAGCTCCTTGGGTACAGTTCCTCTTGATCTGTTGATCTGTGCAGTGAAAGAGACAAGAGGTTGCCTTCCAAGCCACCCACTCAGCACAGTGGTGGGACAGGGAAAGGAAACCAGGCACAGACGTTCCCGCTCAGCAAGCGGAGAAGGAGAGCACCGCTCCGCGGCGATTCCAGAATCTCGTTGGCCAGATGTGAGAAGGTCCCTGACCAGCTTTAAAGGCCTGGAAACACTTCAGTGTGTATCTCAGAGAAACGAGACTTAAAAAAAATTATAACCACAAGAAGACAATAATGATTGCTTGCTATCATCTAATTTCTAGTTAGTGTTTTAAAAAATTCCCATCTGTCACATGAATGTCTTTTTAGGGTATGTTTGTTTAAATCATGATTTAAAGTAAGATTTATATATCACATTTGATATATCCGAGCCTTGAAATCTGCAATGATTTCTCAATTAATTAATTAATTATCATTTTCTTTGCAACACTCTGGATTTTGCTGTTTATACCTGCTGGTTTTATATGGCATTTTTTTCTATCCCCTGCATCATCCTTCTCTGTCTTCCGCATTTACCATGAACAGATGATTGCCTGATTTAATTTATGCTCAATCTTTTTGCAGGAAAACTTATGAGGGGTAGTATCTATTGCATCATACTAGTAGGCCCGTAATATCTTATTGTCTCTTTCCTTGATATTAAATTGATCGATGAGTTCAGGGTATTTCAGTCAGATCCATATATTATAAAATTCCCTCATTAGCTTTTTGCCTAATGTTATTAGCAGCCATTGATGATTATATCTTAAATGAACTATTTCATTGGCAGTTGCAATATAGTGACATTTTAAAAGAAAGACATTCTTTCACTAACTATTTGATTATCCTGGAATACTGTTTACATGGAAGACAAGATAAATGCCTGATTTTTTTCACTTTTATTTACCAATTTTTATATAGAAGGAGTTGGTACCCTAGCAACCTCCAAAGGTTAGTAATATGGTATTTTACAAGGCATTATTATTAACTCAGTGATTTTTCACATATTTGATGTGTTTCAATCCACCACAGCCATTTGAATTGCATGGTCCCACGTTACGGGTCAACAGGAAGCCCTTTTGAGTTAGTGCCTCTACCCTGCTGACCTAGACTCAGGCTGGTGCAAACCGCAACAGGGCGGAGGTGTGCAGACCTGTACCACACCTAGACTTTCATTCTACGACCTTGAATATGACTCTAGCTGCCAAGTCCTACCAACTGCTGAATTCAGCTTTCTCAGGAAATTTCATGAGCCACCTGACATCCTTCCAATGAGTTATTTTGTATTCAAGTGAAAGCCTAACAGGAAAGAGTAGAAATGGGGAGACCACTTTGATCACCTGCCTCAGTGTATGACGTCCGTCCAGAAAGTATCCAGCCACGTGCTATGAAAAATACATTTTCGAAGAAGATACAAGAAACTTGTACATAGGACAATAATGCCTCCTCAGACCCCTTCAAAGTAGGTACCTTGAGACCTTACACAGTTCTCCCTATTGCCATCAGCTGAACCTCATCAACAGTCTGAAATCTCTTCCCTTTCAAAGGTGATTTTAGTTTTGGGAAAAGCCAGAAGTCGCAGGGCACCAAATCTGGGATGTCGGGGGGCTGAGTCACCAGGGTGACCTGATGTTTCCTGAGATGTGATGCCTGAGCAGGCATGGTCGTGAGAAGCTGCCAATCATCAGTTGGCCACTGCTGCCGCCCTCAGTATCATCCCAGTAGTTTCACAGAGGAATGTTCAAGCTTAACGCAAAATCCGATGCAGAGTTGTTGCTTTACTTGCTCAGTTATTTTGAATGAGACTACGGCCACACAGTACACATACTCACTCAACAGCGTCTACCACCCCCACTGAATAAATACCATGAAGTCATCACTGTTCAGCATGCGAATTCCAGTCCACTCTCCTTGGTTGCCGGTTTACATTCATGAAGCGGAAACCGTTCTCATTATATTAACAATGGCTGGACTTCTTTCAGACATTTTATATAAACCCGTATTTATCAAAGGACTAGGATAGATTGCTGTGGCACCCACTTCTGGTTTTATTAAAATTCCAGAAGAGTCAAAAATGGTCAGGTCACCTGCACAAAGGCCATACAGAGATGAGAAAATGATTTGTAAAAGTAGTAGGGCTATTTGCAATGACTTATTTTATTGTACTTACCCAAAAAAAGAAAAAAAGAAAAGAAAAGAAAGTAAGATTGTGCATTAAAATTAAAAATTGGGACCTGTAATTATCCACAGAAATGGCAGGTGACAAATCAAAAATATTTTTAAAGCTCTCTCATTTGGGTCTAACGAGCACCGCCAGTTCTGATGTTGTTCTGCTATTACACATTGCACATATTCCTTAATGTAGCCTGAGCTTTTTTTCCTTAAAGGCATATAACCCACAAGGCCTATAACTCAAAATCGAGTGCATCTAGAAGGGATCTCAAGCTCTTTGTACATGAACTCTTCAGTGGCTAATAAGTAGGGGCAATCTGCAGACTACGGATGAAAATAGCACCGTACTTAAATATTTATGCACTGTTTATTTCTCCAAGAACGGACAGATGTAGGGACTCGATGGCACAGCAGCTGGCATCAGAAAGGTGAGAGTAAAAGCGTCCTAAGATGGTGACAGGCTCGAGAACTCTCAAGGTCAAGCCGGTGGTTAATTTCAGTTTTGGAAGCCGAAGAGGACGGAACTCGGCAGACGACTGGTACCTCCACTCCGGGAGGCGGGGTCGGGGAGCGCGCCACTGCGCAGACTCCGCGGCCGGCGCCGGCGCCGGCGCCGGCGGAAGCGTTAGAGGGTACGCGCTAGGTCCGCGCGCCTGGGCCGGGTTGCTGGAGGGTGGTCCTCCAGTTTTCTGTTCCTCCAGACAGCAAAGCAGGGTGCCATGGCGCTGCGGGGCGTCTTGGTAGTGGAGCTGGCGGGCTTGGCCCCAGGCCCCCTCTGCGGTATGATCCTGGCGGACTTCGGAGCGCAGGTGGTGTGTGTGGACCGGCCCGGTGGCACCGTCAATGTGAGCGGCTTGTCCCGCGGCAAGCGCTCGCTGGTGGTGGACCTGAAGCAGCCGCAGGGAGCGACCGTGGTGCGGCGCCTGTGCGCCCGGGCGGACGTGGTTCTGGAGCCCTTCCGCTCCGGTGAGCTCCTTTGCTGGCTCCTCCGACGAAGGGAGGGAGCCGAACTGTTTGAGTTGTTCGCACGCCACACCTTTGCCTTGTTGCCACAAGGACCTTTTCGTCCCTGTCTTCCTAGGCTTTTCCGTTGCTTTTGATGTCCTTGGTCATTCGCCCCTTGAGGTGATCTCCAAGATAATCTTTCATACCTGGAATCCGAGATACGGCTGTTGCCCTTTTTCTCTTCACAGCTACCTCTCTCTGATTTCTTCCTAAGTTTTTCTTTTTCCTAGTTGCGCGTTTATATATGCCACTTTTAGGTATTTGAGGGTCATGAATCCTCTGAGAATCTAATGAAAGTCTTAGGTTCTGTACCCAGGAAAAGGCAGAAAGGTACAGAGCCGTTCGCTCCGTTTCCGGCAGCATTGGAGCCGTCCACCGAGCCAGGCTAACACTCCCTGCCTTATATGCTGGTGTGCCTAACCTCCAGCTTAATTTCCTTTACGCTGCTCCCTGGGGTCGCCGCCTCCGTTCCTGCCATTTTCCTGTTTTATGGACAGATGGTGCCCTAATCTGTAACTGCACACCCTTCTTTGAGAGCAGCGGACTGTAGGAACACACAGGTCCGGCATCTCTCTTGACTGTCCCCGGGTCACTGCCACCTCTGCAGATCCCGAACCGAGTCCATCGTCTTCCCTCCTGAAGTTGCATCTCCTTCTGTATCATTTATCCCAGTGAATGAAACCAATATCCACCCTGTCGCCTGAATCAGAAACCTGCGCCTCATCCGTAACTACAAATCTTTCATTCCACCTATTTTCCCTCCTTTCTACAACTCGGGATTCTTTCTTTCCATACATTCTTCAGCCTACTTGACGCTGTTGTAACAACCCTTTGGAAGATGGTGTTTGGGTCCAGTGCCACTCAGCTCTGCACCCAGACAGCTGTCAGAGTCATCTTGCTCAAATTTAAATCCAGAGTGTTGCCTGGTATATGGCAGAAGTCAGTGAACGGTTGGTGGATGGATAGAATGCCTGTGAGGCAGCAGATATATTTAGATGTGTTAATTGATTTGCCAGGTTTCAGGATAATAATATAATTGGGATTATATCTTAATGTATCATGCCCCATGTGAAGATGAAGGAAGCTCAGATTGATTAAATGATTTGTCCAGGGTCTTGTGGGGGAAAATAGAGGTGGGAACACAGGTGTTGCTGCCAGGTGGGAGGATTGTGGCTGCTGCTGAGAAGGACCCAAGTTCTTTTGGAATTTATTATAGTCTTAGGAAGACTGTGACAGAGGGTGTGTAATGCAGTCTTTATTACTTTTAATTCCAGGGGACTGTGGGTGCCAGTTAACTGAGTTTTGTACAATCAACATTGTACTTGCTGATAACGCAAGAGCTTGGAGACTATTGTAGCTAACCTTTCTTTCCATGGCTAGTTACGCGCCTTTTTGTGAAGACTTGGATGCTTTAGAGGCCTGGCACAGACTCAGGCAGGAATCCTACCAAAAGAACTTCTTACCTGGTGGGATGTGTGTATCCTAGGGGCAGCGCGCGGTAGAAGGCGGCAGGCACAGAGGCAGGCATCAGAAAAGAAAAGGTCCTGAAAGAAAGAGTTTTCAAAAGCGAATTGCTGGTCAAATAAAGACCCAGGGCAACTGTTTCAAGGGAACAAACCATTTGTAATAAGTTACTAAGGAGAGGATTTGAGAAGCTAAACTAAAGGCACCGATGAAGGAGAGGAAATGCCTGCTATGGGGACTGAACAGGTTTGAATGTGCGTGAAGGGAAATAGGGACGGACAAGCTGGAAGCAAAGAGCCTTTGGGGCAAAAGCCACACCTTCCAGAAGTGATGGCCTCACTCTCTGAGTTCTCAACATGTTACAAACCCTCTGCAAATGTTATTACTGTTACTTGCAAGAGTGCTGTTTTATGTTTGCCACAGAAAGGAGAGTATGCCCACTCTCTGTTCGTGCTCCTTTAAAAAGGTGTTACTTTTCTCTTAAGGTGTCATGGAGAAACTCCAGCTCGGCCCGGAGATTCTGCAGAGGGCGAACCCAAGGCTTATCTACGCCAGGCTGACTGGATATGGCCAGTCAGGACCGTTCTCCAGGGTAGCGGGCCATGACATCAACTATTTGGCTTTGTCAGGTATGTTGAAAAAATACTATCTGTGCCCTTTTAATTTTGTTTCCAGCCCAGATCTCCTTAGTTACATTAATTAATTAAAAAGAATCTTTAAAGGCGAAGATTTAAATCAATAAGGAGAGGATGGTTGTTTGAAAAGGGTTGGCTTATCTTGGAACAGCCCTGCTCAACCCTCTGCCCTGGCTTAATGCATGTGCTAGATAATAATCTCTCACTAGTGACATACTTACGGCATTTGTGGAGTCTGCTCTCCGGCAGGCCCGTGCTAGGGAGTTGGGGCCTTAGCTGTAATAGGGGTGGTTGCTCCGCAGTCTGAAAATGCTAATAGAGTTTGAATCTGACACCCTCTTCCCCCACCTTCACTGAGAGTCATTGCTTGAGTCACCAGTATCTGGTGGATACTGGACAACAGTAGTTTCAGGTCGTAATACGACTTCATTAGAATTTTTGCCAGTGAGAACATATTTGAGAATGGCCTGATTCTAGAACTTAAGAACTGTGTGTCGTTGAGTAAATTGTCTCAAAATTTCCATGAGTACACATTTAAAGTTTGAGGAAGAGAGTGAGTGTAGATTTGGTCTTTCACATCTATTTAAAAATTTAATCCCTTTTCTCCCGTGTTTGATTATTTTCTTGCATCTCTTTCTAATAAGAAGAGAAGTGCATTATACTGTTATTAAGCCATAAACTAAATTGATAACAATCTTTTTTCTCCTGGAATCATTTTTCTCATTTTACTCAGGAAGGAAGAACTTAGAAATAAAATTCTGAAAATGTTAGGTAGAACAAAGTTTTAGAAAAGGAAAAAACAAAAAACACAACAGGGAACCTTGTTGGAGGGAAAGCCTGTTTATAAATATGCTGAATATGTTTAGAATCAGAAAAGCATTATGTACTAGTTTTCACTTATGTCAGCAACTTAAGAGGTTAGGTGTTCCTCTAAGATGTCCATGCACTTATTTAAAAGAGACATGAAATTTGCAGTTAGCTTTCTCCGATTTATTTTGTAGGCATCCTGTCAAAAATTGGCAGAAGTGGGGAGAATCCATATGCTCCACTGAACCTCCTGGCCGACTTTGCAGGTGGCGGCCTCATGTGCGCGATGGGCATCATGATGGCTCTCTTCGAACGCACGCGCTCTGGCAAAGGCCAGGTCATTGACATGAGCATGGTATGTATTCATGGGGGTGTTAGTCCTGCCCATTGTTCCTAAGTACGGTGTGTGGCTGCCTCACATCCTTTTCCAGACAAGACATCAATGACATCTCAAGGTCTTTACAAAAACCCTCATATTCTTCACATGACTCAGATTGTCGTATCTTTGTGATCATGTGTTTGTGGAGTCCATTTTCTGAAATTTTTGTGACTCCCTGGATTCTTGAGTTTTATTAATTTTCCCCAGGCTGTTTCTTGTGATTAGAATATAATTTTCAAGAAATCCTCATTCACAACTGGCTTCAGGAAGTCTTCCTTAGCGGAGAAGATTATTATTATTTTTTTTAATCCTCAGCTGAGTACACACTCATTGATTTTAGAGAGAGGGGAAGGGAGGGAGAGAGAGAGAAGGAGAGAAACATTGATGTGAGCAACATCAGTCCATTGCTTCTCGTATGCGCCCAGACTGTGCCCCAACCGCACCCCAGCTGGGGCCAAACCCACAACCCAGACATCTGCCCTGAGTGGGAGTCGAACCTGTGACCTTTCAGTTTACAAGACAGTGCTCCAGCCAACTGAGCCACACCGGCCAGGGCAGCAGAGAAGATTAAGGTAAAATGGACCAGTCTAGACCTTCCTGCTGCATTTTGTAGCCTTGGACGTCATAACGTTTGTTTCTTTTTTTTAAATGTCATACACTGATCCTTTGCCTTGTGCAGGTGTTAAGCTAGGCACTTTCCCTGTGTTTTCTTCTAATCCAGTTTCATTGGGAATACATTGTTATTTTAAGGAGGAGGAAGCTGAACCATAGAGGTTTGCCCAAGGTCTCACAGCTCGTTGGTAAGAGTCCAATCCAGCACCACTGCACATTTGCATCTGGACAGGTCTTTGGAGGTAGGATGGGGGGCAGACCTGAGGAGATAAGACTGGAGGCAGGGAGATGGCCACTGGAGTATCGCCAAGAGAGAAGAGCAAGCACTAAAGTAGCTAGTGGTAGAATGGGTCTGGATTTAAGGGACATTTGCGATGTAAAATAGCTGGGATTCGATGATGCATTGGCAGTGAGGGGAGAGAGAAGAGTCCAGGATGGCTCCCTCATTTCTGGCGTGGGTGACTGGTGGATGGCACCCCCGGCACCCGGGGGGAGAGTTACTGAAGGAGGAGGCCGTGTGGCACTGTGGTGAAGAGTGAAGACTCTGGTCGCCGGCTCCCTCCCTCCCAGCTCTGCCTTTGCCCAGCTCTGTGATCTTGGGTAAGTTCCTTAACCTCTCTGTGCCTCAATTCTTCACACACCAGAGATGATAATGGCATCTACCACATGGCACTGCTAGAGAATTACATGAGTTTGGTGTTCAGTGAGTAAGTAGTGCCTTGCACTCTGTAAGAACTTGTTGTTATTATCATCAGAAGAAGAAAAAGGGAAAAGGAATTTGGTACTGGTGATTTCAAGTTTGAAGTGCCTTTGGGATACCCAGGAGGGATGCTTGAAGTTAGAGACTAGGCACAGGTTTCAGACATCAGGGAGCCGCTAGAGACTGTGGCCTGTGAGGGCTGGGAGCAGAACAGAGGCATTTGAGGAGTGAGCAGGCAGAAGAGAAGCAAATGCTAAGGAGGGCTGAGTGGGGGACCAGAGAGCGTGTCGTCAAGGAAAGAGAAAGATCCAAGAAAAAGGAATGGTCAGGGGTCATATGTTGGTGGTGAGCTCAAGAGTTTAAAACTGAACAGCCGTATAAACTGGATACATCATTGGTGACCTTTTGAAAGCTGTTTCCTTGCAGAACTGGTAGGTCATCCTTGCAGTCTTGGCCTGCGCTTCTTACCCTCTCAGGCCAATCGCTCGCAGCCTGGGACTGCTTCTGTGCCTTGTGATTCTGCCCTGAGCATGCATCTCACATTGTCCTTTGAGTCCACTGACCTTCAGCTCCTCGCCCAGGCCCAGCATACACCAGAAGCAGTAGCAGTGCCAACTTCACTCACTAAAGGCAAGGATAAGGCTAGGCACTTTATGCAAGGCTACCTGCCTCCAATCCACACAGCCCCGAGCAGGAGGTGTGCTCACTGTCATTCAGCATTTGATGACTTTTAAACTTCGGACAAGTGAGAAGAAATCTAAGAGGTTGGAAGCGCTGGGCTCAGGCAGTGTGACTCCGGCAGCGCCTGCCTTCAGCCCCTGCCCTCTACTGCCCTCTTCTGGTCCCTGTGATCAAAAGGACAACTAAAGACCAACATGGGCCTTAGGAGTTTGAAGGACAATTAAAGGCTAAGTACTTATTAAGTGATAATTTGAGTAATTTGCTAATGACATGTAATTGCTTACTTATAGTCAAATATAAGTTAAAAATAATTGCTACTTTCATTAGACTGTGCCTAATCAGACCTTCATGGTGGTTAGGAAGATGGTTTTAGTGTATGTGAGGATGTTGTAAGCTTTGTTCAAGTTTTATGTTTGCATTAGGGTATAGTGAGTGTTGGGTAGTTACTCAAGGCCAAATGGATCAGTCAAGGATCATATCCACTACCCCCATCCCTGGAAACACATGTGATATAAATAGTTGTAGAAGCTAAGTGCCTTATTATTGTAGGCCAGTAGTTTTAAGGTGTTTTCAGCAGTTGAATCCTTGACTCAGGCAGCTTGTGATTACTTGGAGCTGTCTCTTCACAGCACTGCTTCCCTGGAAACTGTAGAGTTAAGATAAATAGCATGGAGCGTCTGTTCTGCTGTGTCTACCCTCTGTCTACAGAAGTGTGCCTGGCCTGGGTGTTGGCGGTGGCCAGCAGGCCTTCAGTGACGAGGCCCAAGGCTGGCATCAAAGCCCGAGGGATGGCCTGTGTTACAGGGCTCCCCACTGGGGCCGTAGACACTGTGTGGGGGCGGGGGGCAAGGGAGACACGTGCCTGGGGAGCCTGGAGATCAGACGAGGATTGTAACTGCTGTGTTTCTTGTCCTGCATCCTCCCATGGCACTGGCGAAAGATGGGATTAGATTAGACCCTGTGTGTGTCCTGAGCAGGCCAAACTGGACCCGTAACTCCATTAGTGCGTCTGTTTTCAACAGATTTATCAGTGTGTCTAGTGTGCGAGAGATTGTATATGTAAATGTATGACATATAATTGTGTATATCATTATACGTATGTATATGCATACGTATGGAATGTGGATATTCACTAAGCTCTGTATTACACAGACTCAAAAACTCGCACCGCCATAGGCTACTTAGGCACACTCCACTATTTGATGCTGTCAAACATTCAGAGCCGTCAATTCAGGGGTACATGAGGTTTCAGGCTAAAAGGGAAAACTAGGATGTATCCAAAGTGATGATTTGCATTTGGTTCTCAGCGAGCAAGTGTGAGAAATTCCGCGCTCACAGTTGGAATGGGGCCCCTCTGTTGGTAGCCTGAAGACCAGGAGGCTTTGATGGGGAGCTGGAACCATCTCACCGTAAGGATCATAAAAGCCTTACGGGTAGGCAAGCAGTCTTCTCCCGATGGCTCAGTGCATGAAGCCTTGTGATACTCGTACCAGGTTGTGAATCCATTTCTTTAACCTCTGGACTCTGGAGAGTTGGCGTTCCTAAATTCAGTTGTCTGGTCTTAGAAAACCCCATACACATGCCCCCCACGTTGTTCTGTTTACAGGCACGCCTTGGAGATGCCGCGGGTTTGGCGCCAGACCGTTGCGGTGAAGTGAACATTATTGTTGAATCATGTGAATTCTTTGGTTTCCCAGTGCATATAAAAGTTATGTTTACGCTATACTGTAATCTATTAAGTGTGCAATAGCATTATGTCTAAACAACAGTGTACATACTATTTTTTTAATTAAAGAATACTTTATTGCTAAAAATGCTAACGATCATCTGAGTTTGTTGGAAAAATGGCAACAGTAGACTTGCTCAACTCAGGGTTGCTGCACACCTTCAATTTATAAAAACCACAATGTCTGTGAAGTGCAATAAAGTGAGGTATGCCTGTATTTTGAACCTTTCTAGCGATCATTAAAGTTAAGATATAGTAAATATTTAAATACAGTTTTCTTGGGCTTGGAGTCAAACTAGGATAAGCTAAATTTTACTGTAATATGGTTAACCTTCAGAACGTGATATGCATCATATATTGGTCTGATACTGAGATCAGAAGATGAACTTTTAAAAGCTTTTTGATTTATTTTTACCTTTTTATCCTGACAGGTTTTAACATACAAAAGTAGAATATACTGTAAATGGACTTCTGACTCTGATATAACTTCAAAAATTATCAACATTTTGCCAGTCTTATTTGAAAGGAGGAACAAAAGTAATACCTTCTAGTTTTCTGAACAGTGTTTTTTGAACTGAATAGTGTAGAAACCAACCAAAAACCTGCACTAACTCAGTTTCTCAAAATATCAAAGAAGTTATATAATTAGGAATAATCTTCCCATACTCTAAGATAAACAGTTTTGCACAACTAATAAAAAAAAAAAACTAAGTAGAAAGTAACGATGCTTTTACAGTTTAATTATCTGGATTTATATTCTGTTTCTTTACAGGTGGAGGGAACAGCATATCTAAGTTCTTTTCTGTGGAAAACCGCTGGTACAGGACTGTGGGAACGGCCTCGAGGAGAGAACTTACTCGATGGCGGCGCGCCGTTCTATGGGACGTACAGGACGGCCGACGGAGAGTTCATGGCTGTTGGAGCAATAGAGCCCCAGTTCTACAAGCTGCTCATCAAGGGTTAGTGACAGTCACACCCCTCCCTGACCCCCCATTTTCGGTGGCTGTTCTTTAGCCTCCATTTTGGGGAATTTTGATATTCATGATGCATTTGAAATTCAAAATGCATATCCACTTTATAAGTAGCCTCCTTATAGCCATCATTATATTGTGGGATATTTCCTCCATCTTTTAAATTGACAGGTAATTTTACAGTTCTATGAAATAACTCAGGATTTTAAAAAATAATAATCTCTTTTGTGGGAGTTCAGTGTTTTTATTACATTTCATACACTGTAGCGTTGGATATTTATCTTGCCCTTGTGTGCTCTTACCTTATTCTTCCCCACAAATGATCTGCTGTTCATGCTGTTCTTTGATAGACTTCCCTCATGACACTTCAGTGTCAGGTGTCACCAGAGCACAGAGAGATTTTGGTGAAGGAGATTGTGTTGGAATAGGTTGCTATCACTGAATGCTTCTGCAGTTTACCTTTCTTGCAGATTCTTGTCTTATTAGCATGCTACCCCAAGTTAGCAAGAAAATCTTCTATCCCTTCTTCCCTAATTAAATAATTGAACTGAAGTTATTTTGTTCCTGTGAAATGTTTGAATTTATAGTTCACTTAAGAGATAATTTAGTATCTAAAAAGTCTATTTAGAAAAAGTATATTTTAGAATATACTCTGAAGTGGTGTGACAAACTGACCACAGAGCATTTATCTTTCAACTTTAAATTTAGAGTTTCACTGTTACCTCCGGTAGCTTTTCAGATGCAGTGTTATTTGCATATAGCTGAAATGATTGTTATTGCAATCATCAGAGAGAATTTTATAATCAGCTATGGTAACTTCCGTTTAAATATAGTTGGAAAAACTGTAGAACAAAATGGTTTATCTGGATCACAAAGGATGTCTTTTTGTCTAGAAATTAAAACTAAGAATAGAAGGGGTTAATTAAAAATTCTGGACAGAACAGTGTTATGTCGAGGGCTGAGCAGTGGGAACAAAGCTTCTTCCGTGGTGGCGGATGGCCCTGGAAGGCAGCAGGGACAAAGCGCTGTGGAGTTTGCACCTTGTATATTTACACAGCCGTAGAGAATTTAAAGATAGTGTGAATCAACCAAACCTCAGGCAGCTATTTAATATCACCATGCACAGGCACTTCTAAATGACAGTGATAAAACATACTCTCTGAAAAAAAAAATTTTGTTGCTTTCAGCTCTAAACAATTGCTGCAATTACTGTTGCGTTCTAATAACATGTTAGCATTATTAGCACTTTTTTTTTTTCTAATACTTATCCTTTAGGAAACTTTGTGTAGAAGTTATTCAGGGAACTCCCAATGATACAGTCTCACCCACATGTTGTTTTTGAAGAGTTTTATAGTTTCAGTGCTCACATATAGGTCTCTGATCCACTTTGAGTTTTAGTTTTTTAATATAAGGTAAGATAGGGATCCTGCTTTATTCTTTGGCCTATGGCCATCCAGTTTTCCTAGCAGCATTTGATGGAGAGACTACACTTTCTCCAGTGAATGGTCTTCACATCCGCATTAAAAATCAGTTGACCATAAAGGTAAGGGTTTGTTTTTGGACTCCCATTTCTGTTTCAGTGACCTGTGTGTTGAATCTTACGCCAGTACCACACTGTCTTGATTACTGTTGCTTTGTAGTAAGTTTAAAATCAGGGAGTGTGAGTCTTCCAATTTTGTTCTTTTTCAAGTTGTTGTGGCTGCTCAGGGTCCCTTTCATTTTCAGGTGAATTTTAGGATCAGCCTGCCAATTTCTGCAAAAAAATAGTGAGCTGGGATTTTGATAAGGATTGTTTTGAGTGTGCACATCAACCCGGGGAATGTTGGCCTCTTACCAACCTCAAGCCTGTGAGCTGTGAACGTGGCAAGCTTTTCACTGTTTTCTGTCCTTCTTACATTCTTTCAGTGATGCTTTGTAGTTTTCAGTACTCGAGGCCTGCATGAATGTGCTTAAATTTATTCTGAAGAAATCTATTCTTTTTGATACCATTATAAATGGTACATTTTTCAGGTCATTCACATAGAAATACATCATGTGTTGTGATTGTTATATTTGGTCTTGTTTCTTGTGACCTCACGGGGCTCATTTACTCGTTTCAGGTGGGGGTCTCTTTGAGTTTATCTTCCTTGACTTCCTTGAGATTCTTTGATGCACACAGTGTTTTTCCATCAAATTTGGGAAATTTTAGACATTTCTTCAGGGATTTTTTTGCCCTTACTCTCTCCTCTGCTCTGAGATTCCCTAGTGCATATGCTGATATTTCTGAGGGTGTACCACAGGCCTCTGTGGCTTTCTTATATGCCTTTATTCTTTCTCTTTCTTTCTCTTTCTTTCTTTCTTTCTTTCTTTCTTTCTTTCTTTCTTTCTTTCTTTCTTTCTTTCTTTCTTTTTTCCTTCCTTCCTTCCTTTCTTCCTTTCTTTCTTCCTTCCTTCCTTCCTTCCTTTCTTTCTTTCTTCCTTTCTTTCTTCCTTCCTTCCTTCCTTCCTTCCTTTCTTCCTCTTCCTTCCTTCCTTTCTTTCTTCCTCTTCCTTTCTTCCTTTCTTCCTTTCTTCCTTCCTTCTTTCCTTCCTTCCTTCCTTTCTTTCTTTCCTCCCTCCCTCCCTCCCTCCCTCCCTCTCTCTCTCCTTCCTCCCTCCCTCCCTCCCTCTCTCCCTCCCGCTCCTTCCTCCCTCCCTCCCTCCCTCCCGCTCCTTCCTCCCTCCCTCCCTCCCTCCCTCCCTCTCTCCCTCCCTCTCCTTCCTCCCTCCCTCCCTCCCTCCCTCTCTCTCTCCCTCTCCTTCCTCCCTCCCTCCCTCCCTCCCTCTCTTTCTTTCTTCCTTTCTTCCTTTCTTTCTTCCTCTTCCTTCCTTCCTTCCTTCCTTCCTTTCTTCCTTTCTTTCTTCCTCTTTCTTTCTTCCTTCCTTCCTTTCCTTCCTTCCTTCCTTCCTTCCTTCCTTCCTTCCTTCCTTCCTTCCTTCCTTTCCTTCCTCCCTCCCTCCCTCCCTCTCCTTCCTTCCTCCCTCCCTCCCTTCCTCCCTCCCTCCCTCTCCTCCCTCCCTCCCTCCCTCCCTCCCTCCCTCCCTCTCCTCCCTTCCTCCCTCCCTCCCTCTCCTTCCTCCCTCCCTCCCTCTCCCTTCCTCCCTCCCTCCCTCCCTCCCTCCCTCCCTCCCTCCCTCTCCTTCCTCCCTCCCTCCCTCCCTCTCTTCCTTCCTTCCTTCCTTCCTTCCTCTTTCTTTCTTTCTTTCTTGGTAAACTCAGTGTACCTCCCTTCAAGCTTACTGATTCTCTCTCCTGTCAGTTTCTGTCTGCCACTGAGCCTCTCTAATGAAGCTTTCATTTGTTATTGTACTATTCAACTTCAGAATTTCTATTTGGTTCATTTTTAAAAATAATTTCTATCTATTGATACTCCCTATTTGATGAGACACTGTTCTCTTGCCTTCCCTTAATTCTTTAGGTATTGTTTCCTTCGGTGCTTTGAACATATTTAAAGTTGATGATTTAAAGTCTTTGTCTAGGAAATCCAACATCTGGCTTCCTCAGGCACAGTTTGTATTTGTGGCTTTTCCCCCCCTCTGTGTATGGACCATACTTCCTTTTTTGCACGCTTCCTGACTTTTTGTTGAAACTGGATATTTTAAATAATGTAATATGGCAACACTGGATATCAGGTCTCTCCCTTCCCCAGTTCTGTGTTTACTTTGTTTAATGACTTTTCTGGTCTAAATCTGTATTTTTTTTTAGCATGTGCAGCCACTTATATCTGCTTGGTTAGCTTAGTTGTCAGCTAGTGATTGGACAGAGACATCCTTAAGTGCCTGAACAAGTACATCACCCACCCTTTTTTGAGGGACTCCACGCCTTCACTTTTTATTTGTTCAGAGCTTCAAGGTCAGCCAGAGGTAAAATATTAATACCTTCTCATATCGCCCCTGGGCATGCTTGCTTCCCTTCAGAAGGCGTGTGTATGTATTATAAATTTTCAGGAATATGTTGGAGCTTCTCAAAGTTCCCTGTGGACGTCCTATTCTCCACGTCTTTTTTGGGGGGGGTGTCAGCTTTATGTTAGCCTTAACAGGTAATCCCCCTCACATAGCAGTGATGGTAAACAGTTAACACTAATTTTTTTTTTTTTTTTTTTTTTTTGAGAGAGCTGTTCTGGGAATAGGGCTATTCTGAGTCAGATCAGATAAAGACAGCCCTGAGAATGGAGCCTTCCAGGGAGCTTCCAGACAGGCTGAATAGTGACAGTTCTCTAGGGGCAGGATTTTGAGGGGAGCTCCAAACTCGCCTTGTCCCCATCGTGCTTGAGAGAAAAGGCTGCGCGCCCCACTGGTGACCGGATGCCTGGTAACTCTCTGTCCTGTTCGCTCTAAGAACAGATCGCAACGAGCCTTTGATTGCTTTACAAATTTTTTTATTCCTCGTTCATAGCAGTGTTTTTTAAGAGGGTAATGAATTAAATATCACTGTCCTCCTAGAGCTCTTTAATTTGATAAAATACAGAGAAATGAATGTTATTTATAAAATTGCCACCTTGAATATAGTCATTTATCATTAGGACTCTTTCTTGAAAACTGAGGTAAAAAGGTGTAAATTGTTTAAATTTTACCATTTATATGGCTTGGAAGCATTATATACAATGTGAGGTTATTTTAACTCAATATGAAAGATAATAATATCACAAGGAAATTCCTTTTTGAAAACATACTCAGAGCGAAGAGATAGATTTCTGGAAACTAGGCCATTAGAAGTAGACTGCTTTTTGATGAATTGTAAGTAATAAAATCTTGGCATGGAAAGTCTATTGGGATTTTTGCTACCCCTACAACCTCTTCCCTGTCTAGCCTTTGGCTCCAACTGCAAGCCAAGTTTGAATTTCTTCTCCTGACGCATTTGGGAAGCCCTTATAGAATATCCTACATAGGACAGTAAGCTTAACACTCATTTTCATTGATTATGATCATTCCCTCTGAAGCATAATAATTTAAGAAGTTATGTTTTTCCTCTCAGGACTTGGGCTGAAGTCTGATGAACTTCCCAATCAGATGAGCATAACTGATTGGCCAGAAATGAAGAAGAAATTTGCAGATATATTTGCAAAGAAGACAAAGGCAGAGTGGTGTCAGATCTTTGATGGCGCCGATGCATGCGTGACTCCGGTTCTGACTTTGGAAGAGGTTCCCCATCATCATCATAATAAGGAACGGGGCTCATTTATCATTGATGGGGAGCAAGGTATAAGTCCCCGCCCTGCCCCTCTGCTGTCAAACAGCCCAGCTACCCCTTCTTTTGGAAGGAATCCTTTGGCAGGAGAACATACTGAAGAGATACTTAAAGAAATTGGGTTCAGCCAGGAAGAGGTTGATCAGCTTTACACAGATAAAGTTATTGAAAGTAATAAGCCGAGAGCTAATCTCTGAAGTTCAGGCTCCTTGGCTCAAGTGAGTTTGAATATTGCATTTATAGTATAGAATAACACATGTGAATGATACATGGAAAGAAAAAAGGGCAGTATGAGAGCATTCCAATTCTTCCAATCAAGAAACAAGAAAAAAGAAACAAGTAATGATCACATTCTGCAAATGGTTGACATAATGACTTTTGATTTAAGAATGTTTTTAGTTTACCTATACTAAACTGTGGCAGTTTTTCTGCCTTCCATTTACTTGAGAGATTATATTTGTTGATACTAAAATACAAATATGTATAATATACTTTAAATGAATTAATACAATGCTTTTATTTAAATAAAGCTTTTCTCTTCTACAGTTTACTTGTGAGCTTTTAAGTCTGAAAAGCTTTTAAGGAAGTCCTTTAAGTAGCAGTTAGATAGCCTTTTGTGACTCAAAATATTTTTGGCTCTGCTGTTTACCAAAATGAATGTCCTTAGATAGGACATTTTGATCCCTTTAACTTGATTAAGGGAATTGTTCAGCCACTGTTTCTGAATTAGAATTTTAGAAAACGTTCTCGAAACTTCCTTCAGGTAACTCGCAGCCCTCCATGCAGACCGCTGTCTCGAGAGCCTGATTCCCGTGTAGCTGTTGGGCATCACTCAGAGGTGCCTCTTGTTCTGTAAACTGCGCTGTCATCCATGTGCTCCGTCTCCTAGACTCTTCCTCCTCTTACCGGTTTTCAGTTTCCACTCCTGTCCCATCTCCCTCTGCCCCCAGCAGGCCCTTGGCTTATGCCTCCTTCATTTAGGCCACTGCCCAAATGTCACTTATGGGGAGTCCTTTCCTGACCCCTGTCTAAAAGAGCAGCCACCTCATGACTCGCTGTCTGCCGTGACCCATGCGGAGTGGTGGTCCCTGAGTGGGAGCGATGGGAGACTGAGAAAGGACAACACAACACAAGACAATTTAGAGAAAAGCCAGGGCCAGGTGGGGCATCATCCTCTGATGGGGAGAGACAAGGACAATGACCACGGTCTCCGTGTTTATTTTATAGGGGTTGGTTAGATAAAGCTCAAGGGAGTTTTGCAGACTCAAGGGAGCACTGCAGGCACAGATTGTCCCGGTCCTGGCTGTCTGCATGATAAAGCCGCCTTCTGCAGTCGTCTTCAGTGGAAGCTTGCAGTTATTACTCCCTTCTCAACCCCCCACCCCGGGCTCGGGCTGTCGCCAGTTGCCAGCTCGCTCTGCCTTGCAGGCACAAGTGGTCGAGTGTGGCCTTGCCAAGTGCTTAGCCTGGCTTTTGGCCTCAGCAGCCTTCACCGTCCTCCACAGCTGTCCTCTCGCCAGTTTTATTTTCCTTCATGTTCTATGCCGCCACTGACACACTAACCCCAGCCCTCATTCCCTTAACTGATGCGCACTAGGGTGGAAGCTTTAGAAAGGACTTCGCAGGTTTTATTCGCTGCTAAATCCCCAGTGCCTAGAATTGTGCCAAGCCCGTAGGGAACACGGGGTGAAGGCTGGTTACAGTAATGAAACCCAACAGTGGCGCACTGCCAGCTCCACCCCCCCGGCCCTCGGTCCGTCCTGCCCCGCCCATCTCTCACTCCTTCGCACCCTTACCTGCCCTCTGGACTGCCGCTCGGCTTCCCTTTGACTTTGACTTCCAGCATCATTTGGTGTTTTTGACACCAAACTGGTCTTTTTTCGTCCTGTAAAATTCTTCAGTACTTTTTTCCCCTATAGAATAAAATTTTAACTAATTTATATAGCATATCAGCCCTTTACAATAAGACTTCTGCCTAGCTGCCCAGGCCCGTTCCTACCCCTCTGCTCCCCAGCACTCTATACTGGACTGCCTAAAGTTTCTAAATATGCTATGCCCTCTCTTGCTTCCATTCCTTCCCATAGGCTGCAACGTTTTCTGGGACTAGCAATACTCGTGACAGCTTTTGCTCCAGCACATGGAGCTGGCAAACTCAGACGTAGCACAAACACAGCCTCCTTTGGGAAACTTCTTCATTTTCAGCCCTCGAGTGGTTTTGCGCAGCGATTATGAACTTCGAAGCAGAAAGGCCTTGGCTTCACATCCCCCTCTGTCATTGTGATGTCCAGGACAATGCCGCGACGTGCCTGGAACACCCCAAGTGCTAGGCATTGGCTCTTAGTCTTAGGCACTCTTGCTCTGTCCCCATTGCACTTGGCACACACCTCCAAGGACAGGCACTGGTTCTAGTGTGGTTTACATAACTCTTCCCTAGACTATGAACTCTTAGTACACAGAAGAATCATCTGGAGATGCTGTTAGAACACAGATCCCTGCACCCGAGCCATAGAGGTTCTAAGGTAGTGGGTCCAGGGTGGGACCCCAGAATTTGCACTTTTACCAAACTTGATTGTGATGCTCGCAGTTCAAAGGCCACACTTTGAGTAGCACTGTTTCAATGGATAGGAACCAAATTGTTTTATCTTTTTTACTGTCATAAGAGGAGCTAAAAATCTGTTGAAGAGATTGGTGATGAAAAGGATAAAAACAAGTTGGCAAAAATCTGTAAATAGATGGGCTACGGTATTTATTTCTGTGATTAATTAACTTTATACAAAATGTGTGAATGAAAAATTGGTTTTTGTAGGGTGTGAACTTTTAATGAATAAAGGTATAGAAATAAGGTCATTAGCTTTTGTTAGTGACCCATACTTCTTTTCTGAAAGGTATAAGACCTTGTACAGAAAATGCTATACCTTTTCTCTTCTTAGTTATCTTTTGGCAAACTGTAGGTTTAGAAATAGGCAAAGACATAGGTAAGGAGATGGAAATTCTAATGAAAGGAATTATATTTTTACTTAATTTTTTAAAATTAAGTTTATTGGGTAACATTGGTTAATAATGTTATGTAAATTCAGGTGTATTCGTAATTAGACACTCTGGTGCATGCTCCCCCACAAAGTCTAGCTTCCTTCCATTACCATATACGGGACCCCCTTTACCCACTTCACCCTCTTCCCACACTCTTCCCCTCTGGTAACTACCATTCTGTTGTCTGACTCTGAATTTGTTTTTGTTTGTTTTAGTAGTTTTTTTACTTTTTGTTTTATATACCGCGTATGAGTGAAACGTGGTTTCTGTCCTTTTTCATCTGACTGATTTTACTTAGCATAATACTCTCAAGAGCCATCCATGTTGTTGCCAATGACAATATTCCATTGTATATATGTACCACCTCTTCTATCTCTAATCATCCATCAGTGGATACTTAGGTTGTTTCCCTGTCTTGGCTACTGTAAATAATGCTGCAGTGAACATAGGATCACACCTCTCTTTACAAATAAGTGTTCTCATATTTTTTTGGTAAATCCTAGAAGAGGAATTACTGGGCCATATGATAGTTCTATAACTAATTTTGGAGAAGCCTTTATACTGTTTTTCATAGCAGCTGCATTAATTTACATTCCCATAATAGAAAATATATACTTGAATACATAGGAATTATCTTCTTGAAAGTATAATTCAGTATAACACATTTACTTACACTCTCTTTCGATCCTGCAATGTAGGAAGTGATGAGGTGCTATGAACCATACAGTGATAAATAAAGCAAGTCATGTGGAACAGGGAGACTGGTTGCATCAAGGCCGCCTGTCTCCAGGTTCCCATCTTGTGTCTAAGCACATTCCAGGCTTCAGTCGCAATAACATTGGAGTACTTTATAGTTTGCAACATACCTTTGATTATATCAAACAAGGATGCCTTAGACTGCAAGTAGCTAATTCCATAACAAGAAAGAAATGTTTGGACTCATATACCTGGAAACCAGAAGTGAGTGTTGGGGCTGCGTGGACCCAGTCGCTTGGGCTCCGTTTGCACGGCTCCCGGCTGCCAACTTGCCATCCTCCACGTGTTTGCTTTACCCTCAGCCAGGTGAGGAAGTTCTGGGTCTCAGTCCACACAGCAATGTCCAGAAGGGCAGAGGGTCTCAGGGATCCTCAGCAAACCTCATCTCCTGTATCCTTAGAGGGAGTTAAGTCACAAGCCAGCCTTTCACCACTCTTTGGCAGAGAAGGTCAGAATACCGTTAGATAAGGCCGCCAGCTCCTGACGCACCCGCAGGCCCTGCTTCTGGGAAACAGATCGGTGTAGGAGGGATGGGTGGATTCTGGAATCTAATCTAGGTTCACTCAGAATTGGGGGAGGAGAGAATGGTTGGGAGGCGGCCCATCACAATAACGTCCATTACGTACAATATTCCAGTCGCACTTCAACAGTCATGGGAAAGTGAGGCAGGTTTCTCTCTTTTACAGATGAAAACAGGAGACTCGGATGGCCCGAAACTCCTCAGTTCTCATCTCCCTTAGTGGCTCAGTAATATTTCCATGGTACCTCTGGGCCAAAAGAAATATCTAACCATTCCATTCATAACTATGTCCAAACAACTTAAGTATTTATGCCCTAACAAGGAATTAGCTGTTTGAAAAACACAATACACACAAACTAGAAGTCATATTTTAATTTTCATTTTGTTCTTAATCACAATTACTAATGGGTCATATGCACCTCTATGACACTATACAGCCTCGTGTGTCTTGGAATCGGGTTGGACACTGCTACTTTCGTGTTCTGTGGTACAATCCTCCGTCGACAGTGTGCCAGCCAGCTACCTCACAAGTAGTTCACGTGATGTCTAACGGACATTGAGTTTCATTCAGTTTCCTGCCTTTGAATTTTTAAATATCCTGAGATACCCTTGTGAATTCATTGTAGTGGGTGGGGGTGCCTTGGTGTACAGTTTGGGAAATGGCACTTTCAGTGCTTGTACAGGGAAACACAGCCAGGAAGAGGCAGAACCAGAATTAAAACTTGCATATTCTGACTCCTGACTCCAATTCTTGCTCTTAAACTATTTTTAGAGCCCTTCCTATAAGATCCTGTTTCCCCTGCCACTCAAGACTTTTCATTTTAACTCAGGTCCCAGTAAGGAAAGTAAGACCCACTCCAAGTTTTTAAAATAGAGGAAATTTGACAGAGAGAACTACACTGCTGATAAAAGAGCTGAGAGGCCGGGAGGACAGAGAGGCAACCCAGGCAGGTGTGGCTTGGGGAAGCTAGGACCACTCCAAATGTCTGCAGGGCCGAAGGGAAAGGTAGTGTTCCCAAGACCCAGAAGATGAGGTTCCCTGGGAGAAACTGCGCCCAAGTGGAGGCACAAGCCACTTTCAAAGGCTTCTCAGGAAGCAGAAGGAGGAAAAGGGTGGGATTTCTTCCCTTCTGCCCCAGTGTTTTTGCCAATGCCACCATTGGCCACATGTACCTAAGGGCCAGAGAGCAATGGAACCTGGGAAATGTAGTTTCTTATGATGCAGAGCATGGGGAGAGGGGCAAGAAATGGATCTGAGCAAATAGGCAGTTGACTGGCACTACAAAACATAGTGTACATACTTCATTCAATAATTCCTTTAGCAAATGTTTGAGACCTGCTATAGGTGCCAGGTATCATGCTAGCTGCTGGGGATACCATAATGAACAAAAAACACCTGATCACGACTCTTAAGGGGATCAGAGACTGATTATCACAGGAGAAATTAGAATAAACATAGACCATCAGATTGTAAAGTACATTTAGTGCAATGGAGGAAAACATCATGATGTTGAGATAGCTAGTAATTCACATGAAAGGTACAATCTCTACCATTTCAAGTCTAGTTAATTGACTCTTCAGGGAGGGTGGTGTATAGAAAACTTGTATTCAGGAAAGAACAGAATATTTCTATCCAGAAAAAGTTTTTAAAAGATATCAACCTATGAATATTTTGACTTAACACCTGCATATAGGCCTTTATTGTCTGAAAGCTGTGGGTGTGAGACTGTATGTAATAGAATGTGTGTGTGTGTGTTTGTGTGTTGGAGAGAGAACCCCAGTCCAAGGCAAAGGCAGAGAGGAAACGGGAACAGTGCAAAGGAAGGTTCCTTTAGGAAAGCATTGTCAGGAGCCGGAGGGCTGGCAGCAGCTAATCTCTAGCAGGCTTTCTAGGCCCCACCTCCCTTCCCTCTCATCATAACTTGTGATCTTAGAGGCATGAAAGAATTCGAGCCCTTCCCCCAGCCTCGCCATCTCTCTTGGCTGCTCAGCGGGGCTCCAAGTCAAATCCAGCACACAAACCGGAGGGGCCACGCAGGAGGTGGCGGGCTTGCAGGCAGGTTCCTCACCCGGTGGCCATGGGTGGCAAGAGTGGGCAGCCTGGCATGGACACTGCTACATCCCTCGCTGAGGATCGCCTCTTTGGCTTTGTGGAGCTGCCCAGAAGACCCACAGGCCGGCTCATCATGCACAGCATGGCCATGTTCGGCCGGGAGTTCTGCTACGCGGTGGAGGCAGCCTACGTGACCCCTGTCCTGCTCAGCGTGGGCCTGCCCAAGAGCCTGTACAGCATGGTGTGGCTCCTTAGCCCCATCCTGGGTTTCCTGCTGCAGCCCGTGGTGGGGTCGGCCAGCGACTACTGCCGGGCTGGGTGGGGCCGGCGCAGGCCCTACATCCTCAGTCTGGGCATCATGATGCTCTTGGGCATGGCTCTGTACCTCAACGGGGACACCATGATATCAGGTCAGTGCACTGCGCAAAGTGGGCAGGCAGGGAAAAGAGTCCTGTTGTGGAACTCAATAGAAGTATTCGAATTTCTTTATATGACATTTAAAAAATTGTTAGAACCGTTTATCTCTCCTAGGTTACAATGAATTTCCAACGTGAATGACCCCAATTCTGTGGCTGGGGAGCCTTTACTTTTAGAGACATTGGGATGCATTTTTTTTTTGTGAGGATCTTAAAATAGGGTTCAATTTTTATCTATTTTATAAAATTAAGTAATTTTCACATATTTATTCATGGCAGTATTTTTTGAGCCCATTGTACCTTATTTAGTACTTTGTCAAATTACCCAGCTATAAATATTTACAATAAATTACTTGTGTGTCCAAATAAGGGTTAACTCTGTCCAGAGCTTTATGTAGAGCCTTTCAGGGGGTGCAGGGTACCTGTCCATCAGCCCAGGGGGTCATTCCAGCACCACACATTCTGGAGAAAAACAACCCTGATGGTGAGTGCTTTTTCCAGCCATCAGTCAACCTCTGATTGGTGGTAGTGGATAGAAAGTTGCACTGAAAAAAAGGATCTTTAACATACAAATAGCACACAGTTTCAGGCCTTTAACTCTCAGGCTAGCAGAATGTATGATAATGAGGCAGGACAATTAGTTATCATCTACATATATTTAAAAGAGGGCATACATTCATAAATGCAGGCTATTTCTGAAAGAATCGCAAAAAATCTGGTAAGAATGTCGCTCCAGTACTAAAGGACTGGAGGTGAGAAGGGGAGGATAGGTTATTTTTTCATTTATTTTCATATTATAATTTTTAAAAATGTGCATATATTACATATTGGTTTTTAAAAAATTAGCTGAAAGCAAGAAACATGGTTAAGATTGGGTGAATGAATTGTGAAATGAATATTATTTAGCTGTTAGTAATTGTGAAGCTTCTCTTCATCAATTGGAACGCAAAGATAGCAGGAGAGTTGGTTCTGAATGGGCACGTGCACATGATCCCATTAGTCAAGGCTCAAAGCGTGGTCCTCCGACTCAAAGCCTCACTGGGGCTCTTGAGATGCAAGTTTCCAGGCCCCACTTCAAACCTACTGAAGAATCATGGGAGAATCACGGGAGATGGAGCCTAACAACACGTTTCAACAAGTCACCCAAGTGTTGGCCAAGCAAGTTAAGGTTTGAAAAGCATGGCATTAAGGCACAGATGTGCACCTCTTTCTGGCCGTGTTGAAGGGCCCGAAAGGAAGTGTGAAGGATGATCATCCCTTGGGGCCGGGAGCTGAGGCATTTCCCCTGCTTTTCTCTATTGGAATGGTTTACCATAAGCATCCAGAATTTCTAAAACCGCTTTAAAGAGATATGATTCATATACTATGAAAGTCACCATTTAAAAGTGGACAATGTGGTACTTTTTAGTGTATTTGCAAGCTTGTGCCGCAGTCACCACGATCTAGTCCCACAACATTTTCGTTGTCCCAAAAGGAAGCCCAGTAATGGTGGTCATTAGCAGTCACTCCCCGCTCTCTCCTCCCTACCAGTATGAGGCAACCATTCTGTCAGCTTTCTGTCTTTTAGGTTTGCCGTTTCTGGACTTCTGTTTGCATTGTTTTTAAAACCTAAAAAATAATGAAGTTTTTATTTGGAAAAATGGAACAAAATGAAAGCAAAGGGAGATAATTTGATGACAGGAAGCTATGGTGGGAATAAAGATGCAGATCATTTCAAACCAAGATTCAGGTAACTGATTTTCACTTCTCATTTAGCCGTGGTTGCTGACCCAAGGAGGAAGCTGATTTGGGCCATAACCATCACCATGATAGGTGTGGTTCTCTTTGATTTTGCTGCCGACTTCATTGATGGGCCCATCAAAGCCTACTTATTTGACGTCTGCTCTCATCAGGACAAGGAGAGGGGCCTCCACTACCATGCCCTCTTCACAGGTAGGGAATATTCCAGAAAGTCTTTCTTTCAGCTCCCAGACAGGGGCATTTCCGCTGAATCCATCCAGCTTCTTTGCACGTTGAATTTTTCTGGAGTGAATGGGTCAGTTGATAGCCTGCTCCTGTCACGCGGGCTCTGTCTCCCAGTGTAGTTCTCTAAACAAAGTCAGCTTGTGACCACCAGGCTGCAGAGCTTGGCAAAGGAAGTTCACATAACGGCTCTCTGAAGAACCATTTGTGGAGACATGTACAACCAAAATGAAAAGAGGCATTGTGCACTTCACTTTTTGGTTTCTTTCTTTCTTTTTGAAAAATCTGTACTGTAGCATCAGCATTATTTTGGAGCCAGTTTCCTGGACCCCTCCTCCCGTTATTTTGATTCAATGGCTTGGAGGGGGCAGAAATTCGCATTTTTAATAAGTACCCCAGATGGTTCTGTGGCAGGTATCCCAAGAACCACATTTAAAAACAAAAATAGAAACAAACCAAGCAAATAACGCCCCCCACCTCCCCACCCCCACCAGAGATTTCTTAGTTATATAAACAGTTGGCATTTCCTCAACCTCCTGGTTTGAGAGAGGCCATGCCAGGAGGACGATGGGGCTGTTTCTGGGGCCCCTGTGGGTTGCTGTCATGCTGTTTATTTACAGCCCTGCTGCTGAAGTCCCCGTCCATTCACAGAGCGCCAGTGAGGATGGTTCTGAAACTGCAGAGGCTGCAGCACCACCCTGGCCCATGAGGGTTTTTATATCTAGTTGGGGGAGGCAGACTCCATTAGCCTACCTTATTGGATTGCATGCATAGCCCAGCCAGCCTGTGTATTTCTATTTTGCTACCTTCTGTCTGCTCTCATGGCCAGGTATATCCCATGAGAAGCAGGATCTTGAGTTTTGTGGTTTGAGTTATGTCTCCATAGCCAAGAGCCGTGCCTGCACATGGAAGCCATTGGGTTCCATTGTTTGAGCAAATATTTGAATGGCAAACACTGAGGGACAGAGTGTTCTCCTTTCTGACCCTATTGAACCTTAATTACTGCCTTAAAGGCCCTGCCTCCCAGTGTAGTGACATCATGGATTAGGACTTCACCATAGCCTCTCTCAGTGAAGACGGCAACAGCTTTCCCGGAACCCCCTAGACTTCTGCTGGTTCCTTATTGGTTGGAGTCAAGTGACACGAGCACCTAGGGGCCTGGGAGGTTTGATAAATGAGTTTTTTGGGGAGGGGCATGTCCTTAAATCCAATTGGGGTTTTGTTAGCCAGGTGGAATGGATAATTATTATCGAATAGGCTGAAGTCAGTAATGGTCACATAGAATACAAACACAACTGAGTATTAGCCTAGTGAAAACAATTAGACTATGACTATTATGAGAAAGTGACAGCCAGGGCTCCCAAAGCCCCATCGATTTATTAGTGAATAATTAAGTAGTATTTATATTTGAAAATTATACTCCTGCACATTTATTATAGTACCGTTCCCACTCTTCCTGCAATTATTATTCACTCTGTATTTATCTAACTCCTCTACAAGATTTGTAAACTCCCCTATGAGATTTCACCCACAAATTCCTCATGGCTCGTACCTCATTGCTTTGCTACTGGCTAGCACTTAGAAATGTTAGCTGTGCAAAAGTATATCCTGGTTTCAAAACCCTGCTTGTGTTTTATGCAAATTTATATCAAGTTAAACTACATGGCCACTTGCATCAGCCAGATGAATAGCTCTTTTAGTTACCTTGCATTGTCTTATGACTAACGCTGAACTCTGCCTGAACCTTAGCCAACATAGGGATTACAGAGGGACCCTGAGAGTGTGTGTGGATAGCTCAAAGCAAGTTTTTTTTCCCTACTAGAAAAAGATAACTTAAAACTTTTTCTTATTATAAAACAGTACAGTGAAGTCTCTCCTTGTTCAAGTCTTAAATTCACATGTCCCTGCCTAAGTGATAATCACAGAGAGTCTAGATTATCTGTAAACATCTCTCATATCACTCGTGAAATACAGTATGCTTTGTTTCGTGTATACAGACCTGCATAGTGATGGATACATATAAACAGATCTGTTAGTGTTTCCTCCTGGACATGGGCTTAATGAATGGAAGAGTGGCTAGGATCGCCCATGTTATTTAAATAGTTATTTTAGCCCTGGCCTGGAGGCTCAGCTGCTTGGAGTCTTGTCTCATACACCAAAAGGTTGGGGGTTCGATTCCAGGTCAGGGCACATACCTAGGTTTCAGTTTGGTTTCCAGTTGGGGTGCAACTGGCATGCAGGAGACAACTGATTGATGGTCTCTGACATTGACGTTTTTCTCTCTCTCCCTTCCTCTCTCTCAAAAAAAAAAAAAAACACCCAAAAACTCAATAAACATACCCTTGGGTGAAGATTAAGTAAATAAAATAGAATAAAATATTCTTTTGTCTTTCTTGTGCTCACTCCCTCTCTCCCTCTTTTGAAAGTGTAACTCGGTGAATTCTGTTGAGTGAAATGTGACTGTGTGACTTCACCATAATCACCTTGTTCTGAATGTCAGGTCACATTAAAAGATGGTACAAAGAAGAACAAGCATGCATTGTCAGTCTGCCGCATCTTTGCATGCATACCAGACCCCCTAAATTTCCATGAACTTGAGAGATGGCTGCAGCATCTTGCTCAAAACAAGTATTTTGTAATAAAGGCAAGTTCAGGGTTAGGGCCCATTTTGATTTTCACCAACACTAAGACGTCATTCGCCCAAGGAATCCAGTCATCTGAGTAAATCAAAATTCTTTTTATTTATTTCAAAGCTGTAGTCCAGGCCCGGCAATTTCAAATGCTTTGCAAACAAGTGTCAAAGGGTTCATTGCTAAAATATGTCCTAGCATACTTCTGACATTTTTATTTTTAAGAAAAGGCTCTGGCTCCCAGGGGGACATTTTCATCCTCCGCTTCTTCTGTCTCTTATATTGAAAGGTAACTTGACCTATTCCCTACCCCTGTCATATGCGGTAGCCATGGTGGTTTTGGGGATTCCACCCTTGTCCTCTCACCCTGGGCCTTCACCTCTGTGTGCACCTGACGCTGTGAAACCCACACTCACCAGGGGGAAATTCCTCCTTTTGTCAAAACGTTTCTCATCAAGGATATTTCTGCTAAATTGGGTCCAAGGCTTCGCCACAGTTGTCAGGGGGCTCCATCCGGTAGTGGGGGGCTGGGAGGAAGCATAATGGCAAAGGGCACCCAGGTTCAAATTCTGGCTCCTCCTCTTCACTGCTTGGGGTTGTGAGTCTTTATGCAATATCAGTTATTAATATTCTGGCAAATGAGTTCAGGCCTGGAGCAAGGAACTATTTAAAAGGAGTCGATACCAAATGTTGCTATATAGTTCATTCCCTCCAGCCCACAGGGCTTGTGAAAGTTTTATTTGTGATGATTCAGTGAGGAACTGGCCCCATAAACATCTTTGGAAGAAGAATGGATAATTTGTGAGGCTCAGCCTCTTTGAACTTTTCTCTTTTTCAGTACTTTAGAGTATGCATGATGTTGGCTCTGGCCTGTTTTTGATGACACAACCTGGCAGCTAGACCATTTGTGGGCCCTCCTTACTAAAGGCCATTATCTAACGTGGCAGCAGATGTCCTTTGGATGCTCCAGCTTATGGTTTGCAGTTTGGCCAATGGCCTGCTGATTAATCTCGGGAGCCCCTGTTGGCAGGAGCGATAAACAGTCTGGATGTAGATGTGGGAGTTGGTGTTAGCCTTTGTTGCAGCTAAAATGACTGGGTTTAGTTTAGAAGACTATCTTTGAAGATAAAATCCTTAGTTTAAGCAATGGAAGCAAAACGGAAAGCATTCAGTTAATTTCCACAGCCCCCTACTGGCTTTTGTCATTTCTGGAGGAGGGAATACCACTGAAATATTTGGATAAGTTCCCCAAAGACCTACTCTTCCTTCAGGGTATGTGCTGTTGTAACTGTTAGCTACATCGCACACTGATTTTGGGACAAACAGAAGAGTTTTGTCTCTTTAGTCTTCCGACCTCATTGCCGCCCACGCACGCCTGCTCCTAACAGAACAGGGGATTGGAAATTCTAAGTTATTTGTAGCATGTGTCAAATTTTACTTAACCGATTATCAAGTGAATTGAAAGGGAAGACATAGAAAGAACAGTTTCTTGCACTGTGTGTGTGTGTGTGTATGTGTGTGTGTGTATGATAAGCAAAGAAAAAAGCACTGGGGTTAGATTAGATCTGATTAACCTTCTGCAACGCAAGAAAGCAATAATTCCTCTACAATTATTTCAGGGTTATTTTTTCTACCAGGCTACAAAAACAGAATACAAATCATAGATCCCTATTAGTGTCTTCAAATTAGCCTTAATTTTACAAGACTGCACGCCATTGTGCTTTGTTATTTGTGGATCGTTGGTCTAATATCCTGACGACAAAGTCCCATCCCCCAAGAATGTCAGATGAGGGTAGAGCAGTTGACTGGAAACTCCTCTAGAACCTGGCTACTCGGTGATATTTGGACAGTGGCACTGATGTCACGGGGAGCTTGAAAGGAATGCAGACTCTCAGACCCCACCCTGAGTCTTCAGAATTAGAACCTATGCTATAGGTTGAATGTTTGTGTCCCCACCCCCCAAATCCACATGTTGAAAACCTAATGTCCAGTGTGATCGTATTAAGAGGTGAGGCCTTGAGAAGGTGGATTTTTGAATGGCATTAGTTGGGAGGACTCATGAATGGCATTTCTGACCTTATCAAAGAGGCACTACAAGAGAAAGCTCCTTGCCCCTTCCCCCAAGGGAGGTTACAGTGAAAAGACAGCTGTCCACAAGGAAGAAGGCTCTCCACAGACCCCAAATCTGCCAGTGCCACGATCTTGCACTTGCCAGCCTCTAGAACTGTGGGGAATAATTGTTTGTTGTTTATAAGCTACCAAATCCATGGTATTTTTGTTGCAGCAGCCCGAATGGACTGATACAACCTGCGCGCTAACGAGACATCCGTATGTATGATTCATGTGCACATTAAAGTTTAAGAAGCACTGTCCTGGGATGCTATTTTTAAAATCAGGCACTTAACTATTTTTATTCTTCCCAGGTTCAAGGTAGACATTTCTTCCACAATACTTGGCACACGCTGCACGAGGTCAATGGCAAGCACAGGTCTCGACCCTCGGAGCAACCCCCCCGATTCTAATCGCTGGGCCTAGAATGACTAAGGCCTGTCATCCATCTCTAGGCAAATTGTCACCCTCAATGCAGTGCATGCAATCCCTGACTTTCCGTGGCCTGACTCCCAAGTTTTTGACTTTAAGACGGTGTGAAAGCCCTACCATTCAGTAGAAGCTGTACTTCAGATTTTGATTTTGATCTTTTCCCAGGACAGTGACACGCAGTAGACACTCTGCTGCGAAGCTGTGCAGCAGCTGTGCACTGCACCTCCCAGTCAGCCACACAACCACAAGGGTGAACAGCCACTACTCCACAGTGTGCTCGCTGTGTTAGGTGATTTTGCCCAACTGGCGGCTAATGTAGGTGTTCTGAGCACATTTAATGTAGGCGAGGCTAAACGATGATCAGCGTCACATGAACTTAGTGTATTTTCAATTTATGATGGTGTATTGGGACATAACCCCATTATAAGTCAAGGAGCACCTTTAGTCATTCTCTTTTGCTTCTGGGTGAGGCTTTGGAGTTAGGGTTTCTGTAGAAAGTCAGCTGATCACTGGGTTTTGGTCTCGCTTCTGCCCCTGTATGTGCTAGTGTTTTACATGTGTTATCATGTTGACACTCACAAAACTCATGCATCACCACCCGCAGAGTAGAAGTGCCCATGATAACATGATCAGAAAGCACACAGGTGGGAACTGAAATCAGGCGTAATTCCAAACCCCCTTTTTTTTCATGCTGTCTCTTGTCACTTAACCACTGTAGCCGGTGGATTTCTGATCTAATTCAACTTTCTGAGCGCCAGACATCCTCCTGCCTCTAAAACCTTTGAATTCACTGCTGTTTTGCACTCTTATGAACTCCGTCATTAATTAAGAGGAATCCTATAATGATTACTAATCGTCAACATCATCTTGCTACCATTAACTAAGCATCAAAATAAATAAACTTTTCAGAACTCCTCTACACTCTTTAAGTAGCCATATCACAGTTCTAAGTTTATTTATTCCAGATTTTTTGAAAGTAGTTGTTTACTTATCTGCTTCTCCACTCGAAACTGCCTTCTGAGGAGGAGGGAATAAGGAACTGTGTCTTAGTTATGTTTCTATCCCCAGAAACTAGTAGGGTCCTTTACATATACTTAGTGTTCAATATATATTTACTGAAGGACACTCAACCAGTAGATTTCAAATTAGACTAGGAATCCTCCAATTATAGAACTCAATTGCTATAATGTAAATCCGTTGTTATATTTATATCCTTGTGTTTATATTCATAAACTAAAATCACCATTCCATTGAACAGTGGATGATTTATTTTACATATCAATTCTTTCAAATGGGTAAGTGTGTTCTTTTCTATATTTCCTCTGCTCAATGGAGCAATAGATTTCAAGGAAAAAGGCATAAATTAAAATGACAGGAGAATTAAGAGGCAGTATGACAACCATTGATCTGGTTGTAAATGAGAAATAGTTTGAAAAAAGGAATGCGTACTTTTTTCATAGGGTTAATGCAGGTCAAGAGTTCTGAACTGGGGGTTATTTTGGCCCCTAGGGGACATCAGGCAATACCTGGAGATATTTTTGATTGTCATATCCAGTGGGGAGGGTTGGAGAGGTTGTTACTGGCAACTAGTGGGGAGAAGCCAGAGATGCAGCTAAATATCCTACAATGCACAGCACAGTCCTGCAAGGCAGAATTATCCACCCCAAAATGTTAGTGGTGCCAAGACTAAGAAACCTTGATTTAGATAGATCGTTGAATAGAGCTCTGCACTTAATACTTTCTTGGTTGACTGCTTGGCTTATCATCACATGACTTCTAACTCCCTGGGCATACCCACGGTTGCATAAAGAGAGTTATTGTCTAATGGTGATCCAAAGGCACCACAAGCCCCAGAACTGCCCTCTGAATCAGCAACAGATTGTGGCTGCTGCAGGGGCCTCCCCTTCCTCTCCGATCCTAGGCATGTAACATCCATGCCAGGTCACCGTACATGTAATTTATCTGTTTATGTATATGCCCATCAGCCATAAGTGAACCATTTATTCCTGTTGGCTGAGAAAGTATGTTTAACTCATTGTGCACCACTGGCCACAATTTCCCATAATCCCACCTTAATATACACTCGGGCACTCAGGACAGGGTCATGATACTTCAGTTTTGTAATGAAGTGGTTAAACAGGTGGTCATCTGTAAACACCCTCTGTGGTAAATCGCAGCTCACCAGAATGTGAAGGGACCGCACTCGGTCGTTCTCCCACCATTCTGGACAAATTAGGATTCACGGAACTTGCCATTTCGATTTGTGTTCCTGGGGTCAGGGTTTATGTAAGTTTAGGTATTTAGGATTAGAGAGAGAGAATTTCTTGAATTCTCTTTTCCTTGATTGCCTGATTTGTGAGGATGTGTCTTTATTTGGGGAACAGAATGAAGGTTTCGTCCATGCAAGAAAAACAAAAACAAAAACAAAAACAAGCTGATTTGTCTAGGTAGATATTTTTGTTTGGTAAGACATGATGGGAGGTTGACATTTCAAGGTATCTGACAGAAGGAGAAGGTTTTGCACCCATCTTCTTACTTCCCTGGACTTCCTCCCAGCCTATGCTGTGTACCTCCTTCACCCCAGCATTCTCGGAAGTCACCGGTGTTTGCTATTAGGAAGAGCACCTGAGGGGCACTTGCTGCTTTGGAGCTGGGTGGTATAAAGTTTCATCCTTACCCAGAGGACTTGCATTGTAAAATAGGAACCTAAAAGAATGAGTCACTAATGACAGAATTTCAAATATGAGACCATGAGGACAGGATCAGTTTTGTTTGTTTTTTTTAAGATTTTTAAAATTTTCTTTTAGAGACAAGGGAAGAGAGGGAGAAAGAGGAGAGAAACATCCATGAGTGACAGATACATTGATCAGTTGCCTCTCACATCCCCCAACTGGGGACCTGACCCACAACCCAGGCATGTGCCCTGACTGGGAATCAAACCAGCAACCTTTTGGTTCAATCCGGTGTTCAGGCCAGTGTTCAATCACTGAGCCACACCAGCCAGAGTGAGGATTAGTTTTGAGTAGCCTTTCCTCATTGTATTTCAAACCACACTGTCTTCAATCATAAGCAGCTAAAACAAGGACCAGAAAAGCTTCAAGTTAGGGTCCCGTGAGATGACAAAAGGGTTTTTAAACATTCATGTTTAAATTTTAGTTCGTATTTGTTCTGTTGCTATCAATGGCTCCTGATAGGGGAAAGAAGACAGATGCCAAGGCTGTTTGATCTTTCCAAACTTGCATCCCCTTAGAAAGCTTATTAATAGATAAATGATAGTACAAATAATAATCTTTATTGCTGCCTGAAATTGGTTTTCTTTGGGGCTCCTTAAGGTCAGGTATTTTATTTTTTAAGCAGTGCAGAGAGTATAGTTTGGAAAGGCCACAAGAATTCTGATAGTGACAATATTTATTAAGCACTTGCTATGTCAGGCACCGTTTTCCAATTATGACTCTACCAGTAGGTTCCTCTTTTATTATGATCCCCATCTTATGAGTGAAGACGTCCATGGTCACAGCCAGTGCATGCCAGAGCCGAGCCTTGAACCCACCCGTCCTGGCTGCAAGCGTCTTAGTCCCTCACTGTGTTACCTCTGCTGCCCTCGGGGAGCTTTCTCCCTGGAGGGAAGGGCTGGGGCACAATGGAAAGGGACGATGGTTCGCTAAATATGCTAACACAGCTCTTCCTTGCTTTCCAGGCTTTGGAGGTGCCCTGGGCTACCTTTTGGGTGCCATCGACTGGGCCAGCCTGAAACTGGGAAGAGTGCTGGGCACAGAATTCCAGGTCATGTTCTTCTTCTCCGCCTTGGTCCTCATTTTGTGTTTCATTATTCATCTGTGCAGTATCCCTGAAGCCCCACTTAGAGATGTTGCAAAGGACAGCCTTCCGCCGCTGCAAGCCCCCCAGAACCCTCCATTGTCATCAGACAGAATGTATGAGTATGGGTCTATAGAGAAGGTTCAAAATGGCTATGTAAACCCAGAGCTGGCGATGCAGGGAGGAAAAACCAAAAATCCTGCTGAACAGGTAAAGATGCAAATTCTTTTTTCTTTACTTGGGAAAAAATATTCTTGTCCTTCTCATTTTTTTTATTATTCTTTGTCTTTGTTTTGTTGTTTATTTGATGTGAAGAGTTCTGTGAAGTATAACTGAATCCTCAAATCCCCAGCAGCTATTATCCTTAGAATTGAAACTTTGCAGCTCGGGGAAAGATGTGTGTTCTCCTGTCTCTTACTCTTTTCAGAACATCCAACCAGGAAAGATAAAGCCAGGCACAAAATGTTAGACCTTAAGAGAAACCTGGACTATCTTCAGACCACAAGAAATATCTTCAGTTCTTAGATTAGGATTATAAATTTGTTTCAGCAAAAGATGGTATTCCTGGGTTGATAACTGGGTTGGGCATGTTGAATTTGTATTTCATGAGTTGATTAGATATTCCTTTTAGTCCATTTCTAGAGAACTTCGCAGTGAATTTATTAGCTTAAAATTTTAAAGAAAATTCTATTAACTGTCCGAGAAGTGGAAGCAGGTTCAGATGAAGTGGTCAGAGAGAAGAGACTAGAACTCTGCTGACCAGTGGAGTAGCTACTGGTCTCATAGGGCTATTTACATTAAAATTCATTAAAATGAATAGAAGGAAAACTTCAGTTCCTTAGTTGCATTAGCCACATTTCAAATGCTTCGCAGCCCCATGGGGCCGGTAGCTACTGCCCTACTGCCCAGCACACTGCAGGTACAGAATGCTGTCGTCCTTCAAGTGGAGCTTGAATACCAACACCTCAGGGGTAGAGGGCAAAGGATTCCCTGCCTGACAAAGAGGCTGTGGAAGACCTGATTTTAAATCTGGGCTCCTCTAGCTGACTGACCTGTGTTCTTCATTCAGAAAATAACTATCAGGCACTTGCCGTAGGTAACCTAATGATTAAGAGCGTAGGTGTTCAAATCCTGCCTCTTCTACCTCTGTAACGTGTGACCTAGGGAATGTACAGTTCTGTAAAATGAGAAAGGAATTTTATCTATCTACAAGGGTTTTGTGCAGATTACATGATGTTGTTCATGCAAAGTTACTTAGAATGGTTCCTCCCACACAGTAAGGTGTGAGGTACAGGTGCTATTGTAAGCCTGGTTAGAATCCTAGTGCTCTGAGCCCAAATAGGGACCAGATTTAATCTGTGCTCTAACAGAATTTCCAAACAAGCTCAGTGAATCTCATCTCTTCTATGAGCTCAACTTCTCTTGTTAGGGTAAGAGCTTTGGAACCATCAAGCTAAGATTTCAATTTGGGCTCCTGATGAGTTAGCGTATAGCAAACCCCAGTTAGATTACACAAGGTGTAAGTTCATTTCTCACTCTTGTAAAGGTCCAGATGGATGGATTGGGGCTACCTTACTGACTCCACAAGGGACCTGGACCCTTCTGTTTTGTTGCTTGCATTTTGAACATGGAACTTCCATCCTGAGGTCCAAAGTGGCTTCTACACTTGCCATTATTATGTCTACATTTCTGCTGGCAGGAAGGAAGAAAAGGCAGGGCCTGAACCTTTCCTTTGAGGACACAACTCAAAACTTGCAAACATCACTTCTGCTTATCTACTGTGGACCAGGACTTAGTCACATGGCCACACAGAGCTGCAAGTGGAATGAAGACTATAGCCCTGACTTAGAATCCAAATACCTATCTGAAACTTCCATCACTCCTAAGAGAGGCAGGAGAGGTATTGGGGCCAACTGTTAGTCTCTGACAGCTCACTAGCTCCTAATCCTAGTTGCTTTATAACCTCAGTAAATTAACCTAGCTGAGCTTAGTGTTTTCATCTGTAAAGTGAAGATAACGTTATCTCCCTTACAGAGGACTTCTAAGGGTTAAATAAAATAAAACAGGTTGAAAACACCTAGCCCAGTGATTTACAAATAGTGTCATTTAAGTCTGTTTCCTTTTTTCTAAAGCATCACAAATTCAGAATTAAAATTAGGCAAGTTTGGTCCATTGGAGCAGAAGGATTTGGAGGAGGGCATATTTTTAATAACTAAGAATGAAAAAGTAAATTGACAAATATTTTCAAGTGAATGCAGTCTTGTTATCCTCATGCTTCCCCCTATCTTGTTCTCTTCGAAGATCCCTACTCTTCTCTGGAGACTCGGCATTGCATTTCCCAGTCCCTCCAGTCCAGGGTGACCTCTTTTGGTCCCATGTATGATGATGTTGAGCCTTCAGTTGCAGTTATTTAACATTCTGTCTTGTTGGCTAACTTGTCTGTGTCTTCCCCACCAGATGGCAGATGTGACCTCAGCCCATTTTACCATTCTTTATTCTTCTTTTAAATTTATTTTTTAATTACAGTTGATAGACAACAATATTATGTTAGTTTCAGGTGTACAACATACTGATCGGACATTTATATACCTTAGAAAGTGATCGCTGTGATTTCAAGTACAGCACAGAAAATATAGTCATTTCCTCACTCTTGACATTGACCTCGGTGCCTGGCAGTAGGAAGTTGGCATCAGATGTTCTGTTAGTTGTTTGTTGAATGAATGTAGCAGAAGTGGTCATCTGAAATATGGATCTTGCTGGAGTTTGGGTGAATAGTGAGAATTATCAGAATTGGTCAAATTATGTACACAGATTATTCATTTCTTCAGCAACTATTAACAAAAGTCTACCACAGCTGGCCATCAGGACAGACCCTGTCCCAGTCTCAGAGTTGTCATCGAGCAAAGTGCAACTATTCACATGTTGTCTTAATTTCTTAATAAATGTATAATTTTGAATCATTTTAAATATTTTAATTATTTATTTTTAGAGAGAGGGGAATGGAAGGAGAGAGAGAGGAAGAGAAACATTAATGTGTGGTTGCCTCTCACGCTCCCCCTGCTGGGGACCTGGCCTGCAACCCGGGCATGTGCCCTGGCTGGTAATCGAAATGTTGACCCTTTGGTTTGCAGGCCAGCACTCAGTCCACTGAGCCACACCAGCCAGGGCTCTAATTTTGAATCATTTTAAGTTCACAGAAAAAAGTTGCTAAGACAGTAGTCAGAGTTCCTGTATTTACCAGCTTCTCCCTAATGTTAACATCTTACATAACCATGATACATTTCTCAAAACTAAGAAGTTAACATTGGTACAGCTATTAAATAAACAGCACATATTTCTATTTCTCCAGTTTTTCCTTTAATGTCCTTTTTCTGTTCCAGGTTCTAATCTAGGATACCACACTGCATTTAGCTAAATGATTTGTAATGTTTGAAAATTGTGTTTTCTTTCAGTGATATTTCAAAGAGAGATATTTGCTACTTGCAGTCAGTAGAAAACCTCATTTTCATTATTCAGTTATGTATATGAATAAAGGTTGTAAGTCTTACCAGCTAGTTATAAAAGTCTGTAAATAGTTTTCTCAAGTTAAGTGCTTTGTTCTATTAGTTAGCTTTATATTTTCCAAAAATTAATACAAAAGTAAACCTCTGAATTGCTTGGGTTTGAATTAGCAGACTTATCACTTAGGTAAAGTCTTACGAAATGACCTTATACAACTGTGCTGGAGTTAGGTTTCTGCAGTGTATCGACCTACCTTCTACCATACCACCATGGTGACAAAATGTAATGGGAGGGGATAATCTGCTCATCCCATTCCACCAAGAGCTCCTATTTTAGTATGAGTTTTCCATAATTGGAAGAATATATGGAAGAAATAGAAGGTTTTTGGGGGACAAAGCCTCCACTTTGTCTTGATCACACAGAAAATAGAGAAAATATGAGCGTCTAGGTCTCTTGAGACCTGGTAGACCACCCTCCCCTCCCCCAGGCTGCCTCAGGGGGCACGCACACTCCCTGCCCATTCTTGGCTAACAGACAAGGACTCTGAGGTCACTAGTTAGCCTGAGCCCCCTTTTCGTGTCCTTCTGTAAGGCAGCACGGGATCCTGGAATATCCATGTGATGAAACCCATGCAATCATCAAAAGGTGTGTTTTTGAACATTTATTTAAAACATAATCTGTCAGTTAACACACACACACATACACAATGATCTCCATTTTGAGAAAAGCTATACACATACAGAGAAAAAAATAGGATTCGTACCCACAATGTTAATTAAAGTTATTGTCTCTGGGTGGTGGGCTCACAGGTGGTTTTAATTTTCTTTTCTAAACCCTTCAGTAGATTCAACATTTCTACTGGACAGATATTACTTTGAAAGTAAATAAAGAATAATGTCACAGTTGAAGGAACAAAAACAAGGGCAGGTTTTACAAAGATAAGTAGACATTACCCCAGTAGGTTATCACGTCCGCTTTGCCCCATCGACTGGCTGCGACTCAGCAGAAGCTGTTGTGAGGATCACATGAAACCAGTGAGTGCGAGCTGTCTGAAAGGCATAAAATCCTACACACTAGAAAGAAAATAAATGCATCAAATGCAATGAACTTTCTAGTCCAGGCCTCATACACAACATCGTAGGCTCTGATTGGTTTCATTATTTGCTTTAAAGAAAAAAAACAAAACAAAATAGAGTAACATATCTTACGCATAAAGCCAAGCATCCGACTCTTCTATTCCAACTGTGCATCTTGGGAGCCTCTAGCTGAGCAATGGGTGTCTACACAATGTTGAGCCCTGGCCCTTGCCATCATTGTCTGTCCAAGCTGTTACTTCCCAAAGTGAGGCTGGCTTTGCGATTTTAAAGGTGGGATTTTTTAAAAATGATGAATGGCCTGAATTATTTCAGAGTTCAAACCATAACATTCATCTGCACTGCCTCCGTGCCATCATTGCTCCCTTCAGCGTCTCAGTCGTCCCCTTTTGAGTGTGCCCCTGGGAAGTTCTCTTTCCCCGCTGCTGGCTCTGTGCCTTTCCACTTATAAATCCATCGTCCCCGCATCTCCAGTGGACAAAGGCACACAGTACATGCAGTCCATCTGCTCCCAGGGCGCGGGACCACTGACAGGGCTTTACCAAGGGAGCCAATGAGTCAGAGAATGAGATGCCAGCAGAATTTTCATTCTGAGTTAAAATACTTAAAGGAGATTCGAGTATTGAAATTCCCATCTTTTGCAGAAATGCAAGGCACAGTTTGAAAACTCATTTATTTTTGGATGAAAGGAAAAATTAGGTTAACAACAAAAACAGGCTGAAAATTATGTGTAAGGCAGAAGCACATCGTATTTTACCGGGTATATGGTGCACTTTTTGCCCAAATTTTTGAGGGAAAAAGAAGGATATACATTATACATGGCTGGTACTAATTCCATATCTATATAAATGTTTTTAATTCTTTTATTTATGCTTATGGGTTAAAAGTGTAACTCTAAAAGGCAGTAACGATTATCTGTATGCAAAATAATACCCTAGAATATGATTATCAGTTTTGTTTCTAAATATAAATAAATAAAACATTGAATTAAAAAATTAAAACAAAAGATTTTTTTCCCGAAAGTTTGGGCCAAAAATGTGTGAGTGCACAGTATAATACAGGAACACACTACATGCGGCAAAATAAATTAATATTTGGAATGAGGCTGAATACTTGCTGGCGAGATTCACTTTATAAAATTTTGCATTTTGGAAAGAAGGGACAGAAATGGAAGGTTAATCACTTCATCTAAGACATGACATTCAGGCTGTTGTTCTTCCATCTCTACCTTTAGCTGCTTCTTCCTGTAGTCAAGAAAAAGGTTGTCACTTGGCATTGAGTTTATGTTGTGCTCACCACTTATTTTGACTGGTACCATATTGCATATTCAGAAAGCAGTTATTTTTCCTAACTCTAAAGGAATACTGTTAAATATAAGGATATCAGTTTAGTCATGTCAGTAGATTAAATACTATAAAAATGATGAATTTTAAAAAGTCAGTTTATACAACAAAAATACCATGGATAAATACAATTTTATGCAACAAGGAACTAAAAAGCACTATCATATTAGGTTAAGAGCTATAAACACAATTTTCTGTTAAAGTTAAAACAGAAAATCTCAGGAGACTATCTTGTAAATAAACTAGCCAAGATTCAATGTCATTATGTCAAGATTCACAATAAATAAAAATCTGACAAGAAAGACCCATAACCCCAGCATAGTTGGTATTTATAGCCTTGGTGTTTCCAGGGCAGCTGACTGCTTAGTATTCCTGAGGTTCCTTTCTTCTCTTATATGACAAGATACTAAAGGCTGTTTTATTCTTTGTTTTTTAAAACAGCTGTGTCAATAGTTCATTTTTTTTTAATTCTCTCTCAAGGCTCCTGATCCCCCAAAATTGGAGCTTCTAGTTTTCACATAATTTTAGTCTAAATTAAAGAATTTTCGGCATATGTATTCATTGCGTGTGTGTGTGTGTGTGGATATTTGTTCTACAGAGCTCTCACTTATGCTTCAGCATAGGGTTTATTTCCGTGCTCTGGCTGACAGCGGGACCCACAGAAAGAGACTAGGACGAGGTGCCTGGCCAAGAGCAGGGAGCCAGTTGGCTCTCTGTATTGGTTTTCTATCACTACATAACAAATTACCACAAATTTATCTGCTTAAAACTGCATCAATTCACTATCTCACAGTTCTGTAGGTCAGCAGTCTGGGTGGGCTTCCCTGTGCTCTCTGCTCAGGGCCTCACAAGGCTGGAGTTAGGGTGTCAGTGGAGCTATATTCCCATCCTAGAGGCTCAGCTAGGGGAGAACAGGCTTCTGAGCTCATGCGGGTAAAATCCAGTGCCTTGTGGTTGCAGGACTGAGGTCCCTGTTTTCTTGCTGACCAGCTAGGAATCATTCTCGTTCTCCAGAGGCCACTCTCAGATTCTTCCCATGTGGCTTCGTTCACCTTCAAAGCTAGCCATTTTCATGCTTTGAAATGCTCTGACTTCCTCTTCCACTCCCAGCTGGAAAACGTTCTCTGCTTTTTAAAGGGCTCATGTGATTTGGTGAGGGCCACCCAGAAAATCTCCCTTTTGATGAACTCAAAGTCAACAGATTAGTAACCTTAATTATATCTGCAAAATCCCTTTGGCAGGTAACAATACATGAGAATGAGGCAACACCAAGAGACGGAAATCATGGGCTTCTTAGAATTCCATCTACCACATTTTCAGAGCCAAGAAATCTAAGAATTGTAACGATGTGTAAGCCTTGTCCTCCTGCAGTGTTTCTGTCGTCAAGGAGAATGCTAGATGTTGTTGCATCTTAGCCCAAAGCAAGCTCCACTTCCAGTCCCTTTCCCCTCAGGTCCCCAAAGCCCCATTAAGTATCTGCACGTGCTTAACGTCTCCTGGAGACCACGCTGTGGAAACTTCAGTGCCACGCACAGAAGCACAGAACGAGTGCGTCTGTGTGATGGTCGACTGGCAGATATGTCTCATGGCTGTGTGCTCTGGCGCCCACAGCTGGCTGTGTGTGTGCACTGAAGGTCATGCCTGTTTCATTTCATTCCAGACTCAGAGAACAATGACCATGAAGTCACTGCTGAGGGCACTGGTGAGTATGCCTCCCCACTACCGCTGCCTTTGCATCAGCCACCTCATTGGATGGACCGCCTTCCTATCCAACATGCTGTTTTTCACAGATTTCATGGGCCAGGTAATAAACATGTCTGTACACATACTCATTGACTTGCACATCAATCTTTCCATCGGTGCCTGTGGAGCTTCTTCTGGGCTAACCTCTAGAGAGTAGGAAAGGGTACTTTTAAAGAGCTGCCTTACAGGCTGGTCCTAGAGGCAAGTTACTACACCCTAGACAACTAGAGGATACTGTGGGACCAGTACTTGATCAAATACAACAAATAGGGGAAAATCAGTGCGCGCTGTAGCAGTCATGGCGGGCTTAGTAAAGAAGGCACAGTCTGATCTAGGCTTTGAAGGGTGAGTAGGAGTTGGAGGAAGAGAGGAGAGGAAAAATAAATTCCAAGCAGGAATAGGAGTGGCACTTGTAGAGATGAGTCAGAAGCCTATTGGCTGTACCAGAAATGGGTGGAAAGGTGGCCTAAGTTGGGCAGGGCCAGCTGTTAGGTATAAGGAAGAGTATTAATGATCCAGAGAGATGTTGCAGGAGCATTGGGACTTCCGAAAGGCCCCTGAGTAGAGGGGTGAAAGGATGAAACAGGTGACGTGGTCATGGGAGCATGAGCTCTGTGTCCTAGGAAGGGGCCCTTGGGCAGGGTCAGGTTGCTCCCCAGGGATGGAGAAACAGAGTGTGTGAGAAGGAGTCCCTACAACTCTGCATTTGTAGCTCAACAGCCCCAATTCTCTCTTTCAGATTGTGTACCATGGGAATCCCTACAGTGCGCACAACTCCACAGAGTTTCTCATCTACGAAAGGGGGGTCGAGGTTGGGTGTTGGGGCTTGTGCATCAATGCTGTGTTCTCCTCACTCTATTCTTGTAAGTTTCTTTCTCTTAAAGCTGTCTTCTAAAGGGCTATGGTCTAGCAGAATGTTGGATTTTATATTTCTATATATCATTTTTGTTCTTTAAAACACCAGATTCTTGTTAAATATACAGAGATCAGGGGAAACTATTCTTTTCAAAAGGACCAGAGGAAGTCTAGTGAATTCTAGGTGTCATTTTCCTCAGTGATTACTTTGTCCTCATAATCAGTGTGTTCCTGGTCAAGGTTCTCTGGGAAATAAAAGGAAATCTCGTAAACAAGGTGTTAAAGTGTTGGACAGATGAGGAATAGAGTCCCAGCAGAGTATTAATTAACAACAGGCCTGTGTTCTGCTGGGGTGATATCACCAGTGGCATTTCATAGATACGCTTACCGGATTTGTAGATGATGAAAAGGGATGGATGGGTAACATGCCAAGTAATGAAATGAACATGTAGAATGACTTTAGCCCAGATGGACAGGGTGGTGTATTACAGGAGCCCTGTTCCAAGTTGAGGACTATGGCTTACCTTCTCATGTCCCAGCTTTCCATGGGGTCTGGAGACTGCTGACCACCCACATAGCAAAATTTCAGCTGTGAGGACACTGTAAATAAAGGGACTTGTGTGATTGGTTTGAAGTAAGTACAAACAGATGTACTCCAACTCTAGGGCATCACACAGACTCATTTTGTGCTTGCTAATGTGTATGGAAATCTCCAAACTCTGTATGCATTGAACTAAGTGAAAACTCTTGCCTATGAAAATATTTGTGGTCTGTCCAGAAAGTATCCAGCCATGCACTATGAAAAACAGAGGCATTGAAGAAGATACAAGATACAAGAAACATTGTATATAGGACAATGATGCCTCAGTCCCCTTCAAATTAGGCACCTTGGGACCTCACACAGTTCTCCCAGTATCTCTTTCACTCTTCAAAATCCTTTGTTGGAATCGCCATCAGCAGCCCCATGGTGTTTTCCTGAATCTCATCCATGGTCTGAAATCTCTTCCCTTTCAAAAGTGATTTTAGTTTTGGGAAAAGCCAGAAGTTGCAGAGTGCCAAATCTGGGCTGTAGGGAGCTGAGTCATCTGGATAATTTGATGTTTCTCCAAAAAACTCTGCACAAGATGTGATGCGTGAGCAGGGATGTTGTGATGAAGATGCCAATCACTACTTGCCCATAGCTGTGGCCTTCTGAATCATTCAAATAGTTACGAAAGAGGAATGTTCAAGCTTAACACAAAATTTGATGCAGATCCATTGCTCAACTTACTCAGTCTTTTTGAACGTGACAGCCACGCAATACACACGCTGACTGGACGGTGTCTACTGTCCCCACTGACTAGCACAATGAAGTCATCATTGTTCACGCATGTGCATTCCCGTCCGCTCTCCTTGGCTGCCAGGTTACATCATTATTGTACAAACTGTTTTCTTTATATTAACAGTGGCTAGACTTTTTCCAGACAGACCTCGTATGCAGCCCTGGCCAGGTAGCTCAGTTGGTTGGTGTGTCATCCCGATGTGCCAAAGCTCTGGGTTAGATCCTCAGTCAGGGCACATACAGGAGTCAACTGATGACTGCGTAACTAAGTGGAACAACAAATGGATGTTTCTCCCTCCTTTCCCTTCTCTCTCTAAAATCAATAAGTTAAAAAATGCAGATCCCCTGTTTGGAGTAGAAATATGGGAGCTCCTTTAGCATTGTGGGGAGAATAGTTTATCCCCTCTGCAAATAACTCCAGGCTTTAGACAGGCCCTGGGGACAGCAGGGGCATGGCCCAGGTGGGGGAAGGTTGGCAGTAGGTGGCAATCCCTATTACCATTCTCAAGGGCATCATTCTGTCATTGACGTGTGCTTGTTGGGGGTGAGGGTGAACTTATGCAGAGACCTCTAGTCTGGCACTTAGCCCTTTACCTGGCCTTGGTCCAGCAGGAAACCTGCTTTGAGATCAAGAACCTCTCTTCAAAAGGTAGCACAATTGGGAAAGAAGACCTGACATAAACATAGAAGGAATTCATGAGCGCAGTAATCATAAAACCATGGAGTTCATTATTTTTAAATGTTTTATAACCAAAAAATGGTGCTTAAAGCTTACAGTTCCTTAGCACACTCTTTTTTCCCTTCAGAGTATGTGAACTAAGAAAATTCCAAGAGTAAAATTGTTAAGTACTTAAACTAGAACCGTTAGACTACAGGGTCTAAAATGTGCTTTCAAGAGGTAGGAGAGGAGAGGCTATTCAATACTACCCTCATTCTTGTAAGAGGAACACATTCCCCCCCCAAGGAATTGCCATTTTAATTTTGTGTCCATTTTAACTTTTTTCCCTCAAAGAATTCCTACTAGGCACCATTAGTCTAGTTGGAGTCCCTGTATGAATTTCATGGCATCTGAAAATTTAAAAGCATATCCTTTTCAGGCCCTTTCTACTTAAAAGCCCTGTATACAAAATAAACTATTACTTAAGTAGTTTATCAAAGTTATAGTAAATATATTTAATAACATGTGTCAATCCCTGGAATACCAGCGAGCCCTGTGCGGGGGTCTTCAGGGGCCCCCCGCGCCCATGGGATGGAGTCAGAGTCCTGAGCCTGGCCGTCCCGGAGGCGGGCCTGGTTCCCACCGCGACCTCTGCCACTCCCACTCAGGGTCACTGCCCCCTAAGTCACCGCAACGATTCTCTCATCTCTGTGTATTTCCTACTGCTTTTTGTTTCTTTTTCTAACTGAACTGCTCTTTCTGCCTCCCCACTTAGACCATTCCTAATGACGCTTTTAGACCCAGCTCAAATATGACCTCGTTTGTGAAATCTTTCATGTCTTTCTCCCTGCACTCGTACCCATCCTAGGCAGAATCAATCCTTTCCTTCAACTCCAGAGCACAGGAAAAACGCTCTGTTTGTGGCTCATCACAGAACATCGGATGCAAATGCAGAATTTCTTCCAGGACAGACTTTGGCAGGGCCATCTGGCTGCTGGGTTGGGGACAGGGGTATGGTGATAAGGGCCTTATTTTCAAGCTCCTTTGCATAGCAAGCATTCTCAGATCAATGAGAATAGCAGCCCTGAATACCAAAATATAACCAGTTGTTCAGGTCGTACACTACTATTCATAGCTGCTGCTTAAACGCATTATGTGCCTCCAGTCCTCACTGGAGTCACAGGGAGGATATGACCATTACTGGGTGTCAGACACACGGCAGAGGGCAAGTCAGCGCAGCCTTTACCTTCATTGACTCCTCTTCATGAATCAAGAATTTTGTGCCAGACTTACAGCTTTTGTCCTAAAGTTCCTCCTCTTTCCAAATATCTCTTTACCCTTCTTTGCCTTCTCCTTGGCTGGGCTGTATCTGTGGATAAAGAGTATTTCCCTAATGAATATTAATGGTGTCTTTCAGGTACTGGGACACCTCAGATTACATTTTCTGCATAAATGTAATGATGAAGCGAACAGCACCAGACCTAGCTTGATACAGCTGTCCTTCTCAGCCTGGACTACAGCCCTCCAGGCATAGTATGGATTTAACAGAGGAAGCAGTGCCACACATTCTGTCTCCCCTGGATGACCTGCAACTGGGTTTAGTTTCATAATTGATTCCAATGTCGTACAGATTAGGTTTCTTGTCTATGCAAGGTGAAGTCCAATAATTATTTGCATGGATAAGGACAATCTCACTCTCGAATAGGCACATTTCAAGTAGCTATAATTTATTCCCTGGTTCATGTGATCCATACAGTAGGGCAGGGGAAAGATAAAGAATATATATATTAAAAATGACTGATTGAAAAAGGAAGATAGAAGTCCTTTTAGGGATTTTCCCCTTCTATTGTGGAAAACAATGTAAAACATTTTAAAGCAGAATTTTCAATTTTTAAAAATGAACTCTGCCCTGGCTAGTGTGCCTCAGTGGATTGAGTGTCAGCCTGTGAACCAAAGGATCGCAGGTTCAATTCCCAGTCAGGGCTCATGCCTGGGTTGCAAGCCAGGTCCCCAGGAGGGGGTGCACAAGAAGCAACCAGACATCGATGTTTCTCTCCATCTCTTTCTCCCTCGCTTCCCCTCTCTCTAAAAATAAAAAATAAAAAATCTTTAAAAATGGACCCTACCACAATACATTTATGAGCAAGCCAAGTTAACCTGCCAGAAGGGAACCCAAATCAAAAGTCAACCATCTTCAGCCCAGCCTGCGTCTGTTGAAAAAACCACAGTCACCATCAATTAGGTGTTTTCTATGTGCTTGGAATTGGGCTGGGTGACGTCACAGACATTTTAGCTCATTTGATGCTGGTAACGGCCCCAAAGAAGGGCTTTATGAGGCCCATCTTTCAGATGAGGAAGCTGAGGTTCTGAGAAGTTAGGGAAGCTGCCCACAGAGAGCGAGGGAGCTGGTGACGGGGAGGAGCTGGGGGCACTGGGAGCCCCTCATCAGCCTGGGAGGGGTCGGCAAGTCAGGGGAGCTGTCTGCAGGTAAGGCACTTCTTTTACCTCCCTCTCAGGTGTGCGGATGACACTCAGCAGGGTGCGAAGGGACGGAATAACTTGGATCATTCTGTAAAATCTGCTTGTATTAATTTCCTCCAACCTGACTTTGGGCCATGGGGCCAAGAGAGGCCTGGGCTGCTATTAGGGACTGTTAGGCTAGACCCCTGAGAACCAGAATGACCCCCACTTTTCTCCCATGTCCTGCAGCCCCAGGGGCCAGAGTCACGGCCGGCTTTGCGCCACCTCTTCTGCGCCCCGTTGCTGCCAGCTGTCTGCTTTATACACAGTGCCCGATCCTTCCCTGTGGGAAAGAAAGTCAACCTGCCAAGCAATTTCTCGCTTTTCTTTATTCAAGGGATTTAAAACTGATTTCAAAAGCCAGCTGTTTTCCAGCACAGATGAGGAAGTTCTTTTGTTCCTTTCTCAGTATCAAAAAAGTCTCCTTTTTTTTTTAAAAAAAAAGTGACCCTTCAAAAGAAGGGGTTGTGTGAAATTGTTAGTGTTGGGAGGCACTGCCAGCTGTAATTTCTCCCTCTCTTCTTCCCCCAGACTTCCAGAAAGCTTTGGTGTCCTACATTGGACTGAAGGGTCTGTACTTCATGGGGTATTTGCTGTTCGGCCTGGGGACGGGACTCATCGGGCTCTTCCCGAATGTCCACTCCACCCTGGTGCTGTGTGCGTCATTCGGCGTGATGTCCAGCACCCTGTACACTGTGCCCTTTAACCTCATGGCCGAGTACCACCGCGAGGAGCAGGAGGAGCAGGTGCGTGACAGACATCTGCACTGGGTGACTCTGGACTCTCGTGAGGGCTGAGGGATTTCACAGGAAAGGTCAGGGCAGGGCTGGGAAATAAGGGTTCTTGAAAGAGCAGCACTGAAATGCTCAGCCAGGAGTGATGATGATTTGACCAAGCCATGGCCACCTGTCCAGCCCGCCCCCGCCCCCCACCTTTCTTACTCTGAAGCCCTGTGCCCCTGGGAGCCAGCAGGAGGGCGGGGACCGTTACTCCCATCTGTGGGACTAGAAAAAGGGGGCTTTTGGTCATGCTGAGAAATCAGCCCACAGGCACACTGAGACACAGCAAGGGGAACCTGGGGCTTCTGACAAGTGCTCACATATCCAGGGTTCCTGTGCCCTTTCGGGGTTCCCGGCCACTGCAGAAGTCCGTGGTGGGACTTCTGGGGCTTATTGGTGGAGGATAGGACACTTCCAAGCTACATTTTCCTCGGAAGTCCAGCTGCTAGTAAGGCAGGCCCTGTGTGCATGGAGGGAAGCTGGTCGCAGGTGGTTGCCCCCACCAGCTGCCTCCGGGGGGGCCCACCCCGTCTTGGCCTGGAGGTCAGGCCAGAGGGCAAGGCCCTGAACCACCCTAAAAGAACACTAGGTCAGGGATTTCTGTTCTATGATGATCGCATCCTCTTATCAAAACATGCAACTTTTCCCTCTCAAAAGTAGGTTTACAGTTTCTTAGCTGGACTGGTGATGTAAAAACTAGAGAGAGAACTCGGACTTTAATCCACCTCAGCCTGAAACTGCACAAACACTGAACACACGTCCGGGTGACCGCGGGGCTGGTCGCCTTTTCCATGGTCTGACCTGGCCAACACCGCAGCGGGGCAGAGGTGCCCCCGGAGCAAGAACCTTTCAAACCAGAGTGGTGGCTGTCCCCATGTCCTGGCCAACATTGTCCCCAGCGTTTCAGTGCTTGCAGGGGTTTCACTGTTAAAGGGACAGCTGTCATAAAGAGCTGCCCCTTCCAGGAGCGTTAGATGGTACCAGGGCAGGAACACATAAGCTTTGTACTCGGAGAAACCTCGATCAAATCCTGCGCCTCCCCCACCCCCACCTGGTGCTGTGTGACACTGGATGTTATTCGTTGATTTATTAAACATTACTTAAAGTCAGCTCACAGAGGTAATATAGTCACAGGGTTCAACAATCGCAGTGATATACAGACGGGGCACTGAGAAGTGACTCCCGCCCTCCCCTTCCTCCACTCTTGTCCTACTTCCTACGTGTAACCACTCTTAGGTTTTTGTCTATATTTCGAGTATTTTTAAGTGAAAATTAAGCAATATGAATTGGCTTTCTTAAGTTTTCCTTTATAGTCTAAGGATAATAGGCATTTGGGGGGGCACAATTTTTTTTCTTACTTAACAGTATAGGAATTATTATTCCAACTCTCAGAGCCTCAGGTTTCTAACCAATCAAGTGGGAATAATAGACCCACTGTAAGAGTTGTTAGAAAATTAAATTAAACAAGATAGTGTAGGTTCTCTGCCTAGCATACTGCCTAACTAGCACCTGCAAAGACTCAAACAATAGCAGTTAGTATTATTACTATCATGGGGATAATGAGAATCCGTGTCTCTAGGGAGGAGGTAAGTATGAAATGAAGTAACATGCGAAAGAACCGAACACAGCGCCTAGCACATAAAAGACACCCAATAAATGGCAACCATTAGCAAACAGTTCAGACCAAGTATCAAATATTAATATACTACCCAAATACCAACCATATTTGGAAAGGTTGAATCCCTTTTTTGTGTTGCTTCTCTATGTATATCTGTGATTCACCATCCTTTTAAAAAGGTTTGAATTTTTAACAGTAAGGAAGGAACGGAATGGGATATTTATTGAGCTGTTACTACACTGTACCTATTGACTTCTAAGGAAGAGAGAATTTTACATATATTAACCATTTAACTCTGAGAGGTGTTAATGGTGGAATTTCTAGCAGGTAGGGAAGGCAGCCCCAGGTAAGAGGGCTGGGGAGTCTCAGTGACCTTCCATCAGGGGTTGACAAACTCTGTCTCCTTGGCCAATGTGGCCAGCCACCTGCTTTTGTACAGCCGGTGAGCAAAGAATTCTTTCAAAAATGTTAAAAGGCTTTTTAAAAAATCAATAGGAAGATAATACTCTGTGACTAATGAAAATAGCATGAAATTCAAATACCAATGCCCATAAAGTTCCTTTGGAACGCCAACGTGTGATGTATTGCAGCTGTTTTTGCACTACGGCAGCAGAGGGTTGAGTAGTAGCAACCAAGCCGGAGGTGTTTGCTCTCTGGGTCTTCACAGAAAGGTCGCCAAGGTCTGCCCCAAAGGACAGTTTTGTGTGGATCACGTGCTGTTCCTGTGTTTCCCTTGCAGAAGAAGCAGGCCCAGGCAGGCGGCCCGGACAGCAGCGGACGAGGGCAGGGCCTGGACTGCGCCACCCTCACCTGCATGGTACAGCTGGCTCAGATCCTGGTCGGAGGAGGCCTGGGCTTCCTGGTCAACATGGCCGGCAGCGTTGCCGTCGTGGTGCTCACGGCCTCTTTGGCAGCACTGATTGGCTGTTGCTTTGTGGCTGTCTTTGTGAGATATGTGGACTAGGTCAATAAAGAGACATTGTCCCTAACCTCAGACACCGCGGAGCGCGGGGCAGCCAATCCGTCTTTTCTTCAGGTCTGCCGTTCGGGGGTCTGCCAGTTGCTACCCGGTATTATGACTTCAGCGGCAGTAGGGTGCCGGCCGCTCACTTTCACCCAGCCGTCTGCACAACAGTCCCCTAGTTCAGGCATCACGTGTCCTAGGAGACACTGAGGTATGATGTCTCCGTTCACAGGTGGCCAAGCGGGAGTGCAGGAGGGGGCACCGGCTTGCCCCCTTTCTTTGTGGCTCGGGGCAGGGCACAGAGAGGCAGGGCCTGTTTTCCATAGGACGCCTCAGGTCTCCGGGACCCCTGAGGAGTAGACTAGTTCTACACACGACCCTTGGGTTTATTCCATGATGTGGTGTTTTTTCCTTTAACCAAGGGTCTTATATAGTCAGCGGCTCATTTTTTTAATTTGTAATCAAAGTCATTAGTCCTCAGAATGTTGCTGGTGATTTATTTTAGGACGTTGATTTGCTCACATTGAATCCATAGTGAGCTCGCTCCCAATCAGTTTATGTTAATTTACGATACCCTTGGCAAGTCTGCTTGAGCATCTCGTGCTGACGCATTTGCCACTTCAGAGCCACTCATTTCAGGGACACAGTGAAAGCAATTCTCTCTGGCCGGCACCTCTGTTCCATGCCCTGGAGCCCACGGCAAGGCCTCTCGAGAGTCAGCCCCCCACGTCCTGTGGTCCCCTCTTCTCCAGCCGAAGCCCCTTTCTCCAGCCGTCTTCCCCCCCACGACTGCCTCTCCCTGACCGGGTTGCCGGCAGCTTTGGGACACAGCACGGTTGGGTAGGCAGACCGTGGGCTTTAGAGCTCGGCTGGTTTCGAACCCAGCTGGTTTTGAGTGGCTTTGCAACTCACCAGCTAACTACTGAACGTCCCCAAGGCGCACTATACATTTGGGGTGATAATTTCTGCCTTGGAGAGTTGTGACCGTTAATAATACATAACACTTATGGAGAGCTTACCGCTTTCCTAAATGTTCCAGCTGTGTTAACACAGCAGTCTTGGGAGGGGATGCTGTTGCTGACCTCAGTTCATAGTTGAGAAAACTGAGGCAGAGACACATTATATAACTCCTCTGAGGCCATGCAACTTGTACGTGGCTGAGCCGGGCTTTGAACCCTGGCACTCAGGCTCTGCTGTTTCCCATAAGAACAGCACTTAACCTGGAGGCTGGCAATGGGTCTGCACTCAGTAAATGATAGCTATTGTCACTATTTTTAAAAGCTCCCCATCCTGTTCCCTGTGCGGTGACCTGCCCCAGTTCTTCATGTTCGTCTACCCAACTCGAGATGCGTGCACCTGAGCAGGGCAGAGTGGAGAAGGGCCCACATGATTTTACAAGTTAAAAAATGTGTGTGGGCCCTCTTCCTGTCTCATCTTAGAGTCCGGCAGTGTGGTCAGTGCCTCTGATGAATTTCTAACTGGCCAAAACCTTGAGTGACAGAGCGAATTTGGAGAAAAGAAATGAGCTGCTTTTGGAACAGAGACATGGGGTTTGCGCAGTTGCTTCTGTTGACGCTGTGCGCGGCGCGTCGGATGGGTTTTTGTGTGGCCAGGCCCCTGCAGTGTCGGCTCCTTGGGGGTGGTGACGCTGAGAGGTGGAAGCGTGCTCTGCTTGGTCTTTGGAAGGCTTTGGGCCACGGTGGGGCCCAGAGCGAGGGCCTGCTGATGAGGGCCCGGGGTCTACAGCCCGGCCGCCTCCTCGCACCCTCTGCTCTGCACGGCGCTACGAGGGCCCCTTCGTGCACGTTGGCATCCTCTGCCTTCTATACCTCACCTGTGCACAGCCCCTCTCGGCCACCCCTCCTCCCACCTAAGGGTGCACAGACCCACTGGCGTGGTCCACCCCCTGGAGGACGGACCAGAAAAGAACCTATGAAGGCCTTGTAAATAGAGTCAAGGCCATTTAGATGGGGAATTCTGAGGTCCCCCTTACGGGAGCAGAATCTGGAATAAGGGTGGGGCCCAGGCTCCCTGTGGACCCCTTGCCATGTGGGGAGGGGAGCAGAGCAGAGTCCTCTGATAATCAAACCCCAGGGCCGTGCCAGCCTAAGAGCACAGCCAGAGCACAGATCCGTCGTCACTGTGCTGCACCTCCCTCTCCTTCCCAGTTTCTGCACCAGTCTCAGACTGGGACACCTCTCTCTTCACTCATTCTCCCCTTGCTGCTGCTTGGCTTTGCAGGTGGCTGCCGCACTGCTCTTGATTGGCTCCTTTCTGTTTTAAGAGCCTGCTCTCTGCTGTGACTGGGTTATCACACCTGGGACTGGGGCAGTGCTGAGTGTGGACATCTGAGACACCCATGTGATCCGGCCACTTCTTTCTGTGTGGGGAAGGGTCTGGGGGTGAAGGACAGGGCTTACACTGAAGTGGGCACTCCTTCCTGCCTTGGGTTCGCTCCCCAGGCTCCTGCAGCTCATCACCTTGTCTCCAGATCCTTGATTCTCTGCAGACGGAGGGGGGCTGTCTTCTCAAACCTGACTGTGCTACGTTTCACTTAACCTTGAGCCTCGCTCTCCCCCTCTCCACATGGATGCTTCTCATTTTCTGCCACCCACCCGGGTCCCCCTGCATTCTGTTGGTGAATTCATTCTGGAAGGAGGTTGTCACTCATCTCATTCTTTTGGGAGGGTCACCTGTCGAACTACTGTGTCTTCCCCAGTCTTCTTCCCCCCTCCCCCTCATATCATCCAACTTAGAGAAGCAAGGGCATGACTGACTCAGGGGCTCAGGGGTGAATACCTGCTCCCCACCCCACAGGGTGGGGCGATGATGGACCAGAGCTCAGAGGAGCCCCCCACCCCCGCCCCAGGACACAGCACACGGCATTACAAAAGGAGCAACAGGCCACTTATCTTGCTTTGCCTACCTGTCCTTGGCCTCTGCCAGGTTTAGAAATGGAATCATTTCCTGAGTTCAATGTTTATTTCCTGATCCATCCTCCAAGGTCTCTTCTGGTATTTGAAGATCATGAAATGAATGATTGGACAAACTGGGAGGGCATCCTATAGCCAAGGGCCATCTCACCTGGACCACAAAGTAGTCAAAAGTAGTCACATCCGGCCAGCCACAAGGCATGGTCTTTACTGCAAGTGAAACTCTTTGCAGGTAGAACGCTGGATGGGTTACTGGGGTGAGGAGGGGAGCTGGAGCGCCGCTCTATCACACCCACGTAAATATTCAAAGTCCCCTACTCCTCTCAGTAGGGTGTCTACTCAGACCTTTTCAAGCTGCTCCCGGGCACAGCTCCCTGTCCGCAGTGCACAGGCTGGAGCGCACGGGGTCTCCAGGCGCCCACCGGGCTCTGGGGAGAACTGGGCGCCCAGGCTTCCCAGCCGCGGCACACTCCCTTCCCGCTCATTTCTAAGTGAGCAGTTGAGCGCCCTTTCCCTTTAGGGGCAGCAGCCCGAGGAGGTCTCAGTTCAGCCCTTTTAGACACACTGCCTCTGCTCCCTCCCTCGGTGCCTCCAACTCCCCAGCGAACGGCTCTTGCTGGCTGGATGAGAGTGTTTTGCCCCATGACTTTTGGGTGCAGAGGTCGTGCAGAGAGAGAGTCCTGGCCGGGATCCCTGTCTGCACACCGCCCTGTCCGGGATGATAAACGGTACAATGGCCCCATGCAAGGAGCCTCTCTAGGGGTGCTTTTCTCGTGGGGGCGGAGATTACCGCTCCAACTCCGAAAAAATTTCTCGCCCTTAGGCTCTGGCTGCCGGAGCGGCCACGCAGGTCGGTCCTTCGCGCCGCAGCCGTTTCCCTGGCCGAGGCGCAGAGGAGAGGCGCTGTGGCCGGCTCCCCGGCTGGATGCACCCAGAGGACCCTCTCAAGGGCTCCATAAAAGTCTCTGGAATAAATGCGCTCAATTGCACTCCGTTTCGTTGAGCCCCACTTCCTCGCGCCCCAGTTTCTCTACATTCCTGATGCTTCCCCTGCTTCTGGGAGCCCCCCCGCACTGCGCTGGCTGCGAAAGGCAAGGAAAGGGTGCGTGTGGAAGGCGAACGGGGGTTGATGGCCAGGCCCTGCGAGGCTGGTCTCAGCTCCTTTACCAGCTTCCTGTCTCCACCTGGATTGGAAGCCTCCTCTCTCCTAGAAGGCCTCCCGGCCTTTTCTCAGGCGGCCCCTCTGCTCTTCTTCGCCATCCTTGCCCCACCCACCTCCTGATTCCTGTCTTCCCCCGCACCCCGCCCCGTCCCACCACCATCCCGTAATCCTCTCTACTCCTGCGTTCGGGGAGGGCCACTTTGCGGTGACCGCACCCCCGAGGCCTCAGCCTGAGTCAGTAGGCGGAGCTGCTGGGCAGCGGGTCGTAGCGCCCCCCACTGTAGACCACCACGCCAGGCGGGTAGGAGAGCAGGTCGGGCTCCGCGGCGGCGGGACGGAGAGGCGCCAGGGCCTGCAGTCCCTGATCCTCGGGCTCGGGCTTGGTGGTGGCGGTGAACGGGCGCAGGCTGGTGAGCGAAGGCGACGCGATGCGCCAGAGCAAGCTCTTGAGCGCCTTGCGGAACTCGCGGCGCACAAGGCAGTAGAGGATGGGGTTGAGGCAGCTGTTGGAGTGAGCCAGGCACACGCTCACGGGGAACGCGTACACCTGGCACAGGAAGTACTCTTGGCTGAATGGCACCGCGTTGAACTTGATGAGGATGCTCCAGGTCGTGAGTGCCTGGTTGGGCAGCCAACACAGGAAGAAGGATAGGACCACGATGGTTACTGATTTGGTGACCTTGGACCGTCTCCGGGCGCTGGCCCCTGCCAGGCCTCCCCCGACCGCTGGGGCCCCTCCTTGGGTCCCTGCCACCCGGCGGTCGGAGATGAAGCGCACCAGCAGCAGATAGCACAGGCTGATGATGCCCAGCGGCAGCAGGAAGCCTAGCAGCACCTTCTGCAAGTTGTAGAGGCCCAGCCAGAACTGTCTGTCGCCGCCCAGCAACTTGTCCGGGAAGCGCACCAGGCACAGCTCCTCGCCCATCACCCTGACCGTAGTGGAGAAAAAGGCGTTGGGCAGAGAGGCCAGCGCGGCGGAAGCCCAGATCAGCAAGCACAGAACCTTGGCCGAGAAGCAGCAGCTGTCCCGCAGGCTCTGGCAGCAGCAGTCGCCCCGGCCGTGCCCTCGGCTGCGATGGCTCTTCAGAGCCGAGGCCACCGAGTGGTAGCGCGCCACGCTCATGGAGGTGAGGAAGAAGACGCTGGCGTACATGTTCATGGAGGTCACTACGGATACGATCTTACACATGGCCTTGCCAAAGGGCCATTTGAAGTCGAGAGCGTTCTCCACCGCCCAGAAGGGTAGGGTGAGCACAAACTGAAAGTCCGTCAGTGCCAAGTTGGTGACGAAGAGGTTGATGGAAGATTTGCGCCAGCCCTGCTTGCTCTTCATTAGGTAGAGCACCAGCAGGTTGCCCGCCAGCCCCAACGCGCAAACCACCCAATACACCACGCTGATGAAGATCCGCACCCGGGCCTCGGTGTCCGCACGGTCTGCCCCGCCGCTGCCCGCGGGATGCCCGGGCGCAGCTCCGTCAGGCAACTCTCGCCCTAACTCCCACCACAAATCCTGGAGCGGCAGCGACGCGTTGCCACTCGCGTTGGCTGCCTGCAAAAGGTCCGGAATCAGATTGAAGAGTTCCGCGAGCTCTTCCCCGCCAGCAGCCTTCCCCATAGTGGCTATTGTGGCTGCAGCGGCCACCTGAATGTGCAGGTTCCTCTTGGTCATGTTCCGAGGAACAAGACCGTAAGGGTGTCCACCTTGCCCGGGGTTCCGTTCTGGGGCGAGGGCGCAGGGCGTACTTGGGAGCTTTCAAAGCAGCGACCAAAGACAGCCTAAGAACTGGGTGCCAAGTGCGTCCCCGGCGCGCGGAGTTGCGCTCAGTTTCCGCTCGGGAGGGAGTTAGAGAGCAGAGGAACGGCGTCCCAGGGTTCTGCAGCCCAGAGGGGAGTCTTCGGTTCCCTACAGCACTACTCACAACCCCCCCACCCCCGCGTTTCCCGCGGTCACTTGAGCACCAGCGCACAAACCATCCGGCGCTCAGGACTGCTATTGGGCACCGCTCCTTTTCTTTCAAATACCTTTGTTGGTTTCTTCAGCTTGAACGCGGTTTCTGTCCTTTGTGAGATAAGCAGGCATAGGAGAGATCCGTCTGCCTCGCTCTGATTCTCTGGAGGTCTGTCGATGTCGCCCTCGCTGCCTCGCGCCTCGGTCTCCGCCGCTGTCAACTCCCAGCTAGTTGCCCGCGGCGCCCCGGGGAGTTGCGCTAGCCCGCGCGAAGCGGAGGCTGCCGGCTCCCCAGGAGCATGCGTAAACCCCTGGGACGGCGGGGGCGCTTTCCGCGGTGCTGAACTTCACCGCGCCGGCCGCGGGGGAGGAGGAGGAGGTGGGCAACAGGCGCAGCCCACTGGCCAACTCTCCTTTTCTTCTTCCGAGTTGCAGGAGGAAATAGTCTCAACCTTTTATTGACCTATGTTCCTGGAGAAAGTCTACTCTGACTTGCGATCGCTTTTTCTTTTTTATTCCCAAACGTGCCTATCTGAATTTGTTCTCTTCCTCACTCCCCTTTATCTTTGAAATTTCATGGAGCTTGGTTCTAATAATGCACGATACCCTGCCCATTTTTTTAAAAAGCAATGGTCGTGGCTTCTTTTGATGCTCAGACCCTAAATCAGATGTTGGGCTCTTACTGAATACACAAATGCAAGCTCCGCTTTGCTTCCTTTAATTAGCTGACCACTTTAATTGGTGCCTGACTCTCAGGACTTTCAAAGGTTCAAGTGTTGCCCTCTGCTTTGGTATATTCTGAGCATTAAGCGAAGCAGAGCATAAAATCGGTGAGCCGAGCTCACAGACGTTAGATACCACCTGCCTAGCTCTCAGCCCAAAGCTCTTCAGCAAACAGGCTATTCACATACACCTGCGCTTTCTTTGCCTTGGTGCAGTTGGAATAGAAGATTCCACAGAGCTATTTTGGATCCCTAGCTCCCTATTTCCGCTACTATTATGATAATAACTCTTTGCCTGGTGTTTTTCATACCAAAGGAAGTAAATTCTGAAGAATCTTCTACATTCCTTTGGGCAAAGGAAACTAGTCTAAACCATTTTAATTACTTTTCAAATCGGAGTTTATTCCAATGGTTGCTCAACTGCTCTAGTGGAAGTTACACTTTTTAGGAAAGACTTAAGGAATTTGAAATGTTTTCCTCGCTGTCTGAAACAAAACTGAAACAAAGCTTCTTAAGCATAATTGTCCTCAGTCTTGATGGGCTCGCGACTTTACTGACAGAGATAAAGAGGTTGTGACTTTAAATCAGAGGATGTGGGGAAAAAAACTTGGTAAAAAAAGAAACGTGTTACCCAAAACATATGAAAGGAAATGGAAACAATCTTGATTCCGAAACAAGAGAACAGTTTCAGAGAGATCACGCTTCACTCTAGAATCTGGACTGCTTACCTTTCCCGCTAGGGGGCGCCAGGGCCTTAGTAACGGTAAAAAAAAGAAAACCAAACCAAACCACCTCCTTTAGTAGTTCTAATATGGAAAAGCTCGGCTCTCCAATCAGCGGGCTGCTTCTGTGGACACCTCTTATCTCTGCTTTAATAGCCTCACCTTCAAGGTCTTTCACTTCATTTTTTACTAGTTATGTCTCTATTAAATTCCCTCCTCTTTCTCTCCCTGCTCCCCCTTCCCATGTTTCAAGGTGCTGTTAAAAAACAAGGAAGTCTAGGAGGACCCTTGAAGGCCCTTTGCCTCAGCTTCTCATCTGTATATGGGAGAATTTGTGATTCGCAAATCTGAGGACAGGGACTGGACAGGTGCCTCCAGAGTCAGCGGGGGAGCCTGCAGCCTCCTCCCAGCCCCAGAGATTCTACTTCTCAGTGGAGTTGGAAAGGCACCGACAAATCTACATTTTAAAACACGTTCTTCCAGATGATACTGATTTTCCCCCAAGTTTGACAACATCTGAACTTTTATTCCTTTTCTAATTCTCCATGTTTTTTTTAAAAAAGTGCCAAAGAACCGATGTCCAACGATGGCTTATCACACACTGGGATTAGAAATAAAGGAAGAAAGGGGGTTTTACTAAATTTCACTAAAATCACAGTTTAGTGATTTTTTTCTTCATCATCAGCCTACGGGGGCCACATGCTCCTGAGGCCTGCGGGGCCTTGAGCACTAGCCAGCGCCCCTCTGACTGAGCCCTGTGTGCCTCTCAGCGAGCGCTACCACAATCAGATAACACAGATCTTTTATTCCACCACAGTTAGGACCCGTGTGCAAAGATACGATATGAATAATACTAGACACAAGGATAACCATTCACATTACACGGCTATTTTGACACTGCGTTATTTTCCTGAGGTTGCTGTAACAAATTACTACAAACTGGGTGATTTAAAACAACAGAAACTCATGCTTTCAACATTCCAGAGGCTAGAAGTTGGAAATCAAATTGGTGTTGGTAGCATTGGTTTCCTTTGGAGGCTCAGGGGAAGAAAGCATCCCGTGTCCCCCTCCTCACCTCTGGGGTTCTGAGGTAAATCCTTGATTTGTAGCTGCAACACTGCCATCTCTGTCTCTGTCCTCAGATGACAGCCTCCCCTCTGTGTGTATCTGTGCCTCTGTTTTCTCTCCTTATCCGGATACCAGTCACTGAAGAAGGGTCTGCTCTAGTTCAGTATGACTTCATCCTAAGTAATTATATCTGAAAGGCCCTCTTTCCAAACAGGGTCACATTCACAGGTGCCAGGGGGTAGGACCTGAACATATCTTTTGGGGGGGGCACAATTCTACCTACTACAGATAATAACTCTGTGCAGCTTGCAAAAAGTTCTATCTGCATTATCTCACCCAGTGCTCACAGCCAGTGCGGTTGATACTATTATTATTCCAAATCTGATTTCTAGCCTCTAATCCTCAGAACTCCAAGTTTTATGTCTAACTGCTTCTTGAGAGTTCTCCCTGGCAGATGATCTTTCATTAGGTTTTTCAATCTTGGAAGATGGCATTACTGTTCACATAGATGTTCAAGTTAAACCCAAGAGTAATTCCTTGTTTCTCATGTCCCCTTATACCCAAACTAACCCAGTCTAGTAGGTCCTGTTAGCGTGTCCTCACGAATAAAAATAAATCCTCCCAAACTGAAAAATTCCTAAATTCATCTACTTCTCATCATTTCTTCATTTCTCTGTTATTTATCTCTTAATGAATAACAGTTTCTGTGAAAACTTCGCGGTGTACAACAATAAGTATCTATTGTCTCCCCGTGTGTAGGTCACGAATCCAGGTGCAGCTTAGGACCAGTGGCCCGTGGTCCCTGTGGGGCCGCAGTCTGGCTGCCAGCAGGGCTGCGGTTTTTGTCGGGAAGAAGGCTTCAGCGGCAGGGTGAGCAAGCTGCCTTGAAGTTCACGCACATGGCTGTTGGTAGGCCTTGGTCTTTCACCAGGTGGAATTCTCCACAGGGCTAATGCACAGTATAGCAGTTAGTTCCCACCAGGGTGAGTGATGAGAGAGAAAGAGAGCTCAGCATGAAAACTATAGTCTTCTTATAACCTAGTACCAGAAGTGTCACTTCTGCTGCATCCTGTTCTTCAGAGATGAGTCGGGAAGTCCAGTCCACACTCAAAGAGAGGGGAGTTATACAACATATGGTTACTAGGAGGCAAGAATCATTGGGAGCATCTTACACGTTCACCAGAGGGTGGCCGATTGTCACGATACCCAGCAGAAACCAGGATTTGAAGGGCCACTCAGGTGAGCAGATATTGTAACAACTACACAGGAGCAGAGCAACAGAGGGTTGTAGTTCAAGCCCGGTCAAGTGGAGAAGGATAAGTAGATCGTCCAGGCTTTCGGGCAAAACCCTAGAAGGAGCACATCCTAAGGTAAGCTCTGCACGCTAGTCTCAAAAACCAGAAAACACACTTTCTTCAAGGGTGTATTCACCAAAATAGGCCACATGCTGGGCCAAAATCAAGTTTCAACAAATTCCAAAAGATTGAAATCTTATAGAACGTGTATTTTGAGTACAGTGGAATTAAAGTAAAAATCAATGAAGGAATGATAATGAGAAGTCCTTGAATGTTTCAAAATTAAGAACACATTTTAAACAACCCATGATGAAAGAAGAACTAACATTTATAGAATGTTATAAAATAAATTACAAAATTATATTTTAAAGTAACTCATAGTAAAAATATGAAATATCAGATTTTGTGGGATGCAATTAAAGCAGTGTTTAGAGGGAAATGTATGGCTACAAATGCATATTTTTCTAAAGGAAAAAGAGTTAAACATCAGTGATCTCAGCTTCCAACTGAAGATATTAGAGAAAGACAAATAAATTAATTTCTAAGAAAGAAGTATGGACATATTAAACACAAGAGCAGAAATACATAGAGCCCCCCCCTGCTGTGTTGGGGGTTCACCTTCCAACTGCTAAATCATGGAGCGATGAGGGGTGGGGGTCTCAAGAGAGGAGCAGAGCCATGCAGGGAGGGGCTACTCAGGGGGCTTGGGATAGAGGTTAATCAGAAAGTATGGGGATACGTAAACACTTTTCCAAACTTCTACTGTTATGCTTGCTCACATCAACTAAATATGAATATGGGATCTTCTCAGTTTGGTCCCACCCATATTGAACCACAGTTGTCAGCTTCTCTTCACCACCTGCAACATCCCTGATGCTGAATGACAGTGTCATCGCTAGTCGTCCCCGTTTTTTAAATCCTCACCCGAGGGCA